CCACCCACCATAAGCAGCAGGACTTGGGTTGCTCCCTTCCCTGTGCCCATAGAGACAATTTTGCTGCAGCTGTTAACAGGAAGATCTGGAGATGCTCACGCATGTGGTTCCAGCACTGCTTGCAGCTTTTCCACACTGGGAATCTTGGCTTAAAGCTGGGCTGCTCCGTGACAAAACACTGACGCAGCAAAGCACGTGGCAGCCGTGACAGTGGCAGCATTTGCAAAGCTGTGGTTAATCCCTGGGGATGGGTTAGAAAACTCCTGGAGAATGATGTGCTGGCAGGAGATGTCCCATCTGGTGCTCAGAACCCTGCAGCTCTAGCTGGGGGGTTCTCTTGTTCTCTTGGGGATCTGCACCCCCATCGCCAAATTACCCCACCTCTGAAACTAGACGTCCCAAGAACTGACTGCCATGAAGCCAGAACACAGCTCTTGTGTCCATGCATCAAGGATTTGTTCCCTATGCTCCCAGTGTGGGCAGCACAGGCTGGAATGTTCCCTGGCCATAGGGAATCTCTGCTCACCAGCACAGAGAGGCTGAGCTGGGGTTTACAACCCTTCATGGCCAAGTGGGTAATGCAGGAATTTTCAGAGACTGAGCAGGGTATGGGAATGCTCCTCCTTAGACACTGCCACACAAACACCCCTTATCTGCCATCTCTGGCTGCCCTCCTGGGGTGAACACTTCAGAACAGGGCCCTGCACCGAGGCCTTGCCAAACCTGGAGCCAACCGGGGCACGGGGGCTGCAGGAGGCTGAAGGAGCACCCATGGAACAGGGCCCTCGGGGCTCTGTGTGTGTTCAGGAGTTCCTGTGTGGGTCCAGGGGTTCCTGTGTGTCCCAGGGAAAAGGTTAGAATGGATCTGCTCCCTGGGCTGTGCCTCAGTGGGCAGCACATCCCCCTGCTGATGTCCTTCTCATCCCAGCGGCCTTGGCGGATGGGAGCAGCTGCAGCCCTGGGCAGGTGATGGCCACCAGGGCAGGTAGCCAAAACCCTTCAGCAGCAGCTTGTGGCACTTAGTGACTTTTTAAATTTCCTCTTTATTTATTTTATTTTAACCTGAGACACGCTGTAGTTGCTGTGTGTGCTCTTATGAGCCTGCTTAGCCCAGGCAAAATAACCAAGCCAAAAAATCCCAACCAAAGGCACCTGGGGACTGATCCTGGGCATGGGCTGCTGGAGGCCCAGCAGTGATACTCAAATGTTTTATTTGCACAAGGAGTAGCCACCTACAGGATGGTTTTTTCTTTCCCTACCTCAAATCAGGACTCCAGGAATAGACACTGGTTTAACCTCCATCTGTTTGACTGAAGAGGCCAAAGAGGTCAAGAGGTCAGCGAAATAACCAGTCCCATTCACTAGAAAAAGAAATGTTGGGGTGGGTTTTTTCCCTTTCTTTGTCTTCCTATTGGGCTTTTCTGACATGTTTGGACTCTCACAGTAGTGGTGCCATGCATGGGCTGGGCACTGGCTGGTGAGAAATGGCTTTCTTTTGCATCACTTGGGTTCTTTAATTTTGTTTTTTATCTCTTTGATGTATTTTGTTGTGGGTTTTTTCCCACACCCCCTTTTTCCTTTGCTACTTATTAACTTGTATCCCATGAATTTTTGCACTTTTACCCTTCTGACTCTCTCCCCATCCATGGAATGAGGGGGTGAGTGAGTGGCTGTGTGTGGGGCTCTGCTGCCAACCAGGGTGAAGTTAGATAGTGATTACACATATTTCATATATATACAGTGATTACACGTTTCATATATATATAGTATTTTATAAGGGCAAAAAACCCCCACACCAACAACCCCAAAATAAGTAATAGGTTTAAAGGAAAAACTGAGCTACTCAAAGACCAAAAAAAAAACCCATCCAAGAGCACAGCTGGTTTATAAAGGAAAGTTTTATTTTCAGTTATAAGGTGATTACAAACTCATCTAAAAAAGCAAAGATGACTTAAAAATATCCATATACATTTTATTTATCTAAAAAGCAAAACAGAAACTGCAAAATACAAACATTTACCATATACACAAAGGCTAGGGGGTTTTAGGATTAAATTACACTCCAGGGGTTTTTTTCAAATACAAATATTCTGGTTTGGAACACACAAAAAATGTTTTAAAATGTTTTAAAAATATTTTTAAGGTTTTTTTTTCTTTAAAAAAGTTCAGATGACATTTTTAAGGAGGCTATCATTGCCCTCGCCTCCTCGCTGCATGTGCTACTCATTATCACATTACTGTAGTCACAGTTGCTAGGAATTTAAATAATTAAAAAAACACCACTGTTTTTTAGCCAAACACATCAAACAAGATGGATCACCTCTTACAATGTGAAGTCCCTGGCAACATTATCAGGTAACAATCACAACATTACACTGGAGAAAAATAACATCCTATTGAACAACGAGCACTTCAGAACAGTACTGGGATGCTGCGATGCTGAGAGACCAGCGCTGGCTTCCAGGACAGGAGCAGGTCATGAACTAACTCAACTTGCCCCCTCAGGTTTTGTTTGTTTTATCAGCCTCTCAACATAATTTTGCCACTGTTTGTTTGTTTTGTTTTGTTTTTTTTTTTCTTTTTTTTTTTTTCTTTATATATTGAAAAACAAATTCAACTCTTCCTAACATCTCAGCTGCAGAAGCAGGTACATTTAGGAACAGTGTGTATCGTGCTCCCTTGTGCTACAGGGTTGAAGCCTTCCCCCACAAATGCACACACACACACAGCATGTGCACAGCTTCTTAGCATTGTTGAGTTTTATTGTTTTTTTTAGTAGCTTTATTTTTCCCATTATTTCTTCTGATTCCTCAAGTCAGGCCATGTTTTCCCTGTGCTGCAAATGTGAAAGTGAGCAGCACCATTCTGCTGTGCACTGCAGAGCCACAGGGAACAAGCCTCCCAAACTTGCCTCTTGAAAATGATCTTCAATTTACTTTACTCCTGAACTCGTGGTAATTAAATTCTGATACTTCTACTGATTATTTCAAACGAGGACACATCAGCAATACAAAAAGGCTGTGTCTGCCATTCAATTGCCCAACATTACCAGCAGGATCAGGCTCTTTTCCAGGCACAAACCCTGTCACTAAAGTTTTCCATCTTTGATGGGGATGGGTGGGTGATTTGTTTTCTTAAAGAATTCAACCTGCAACATTTTGAGCTTGTCCCTGTTATCTGGTGAAATGGTGGCAAGCTATTTCTGCTCTTCTTTTAGGACATGGGTAAATTGAAATCACCAATTCCCAATGACATCTCAAGCTATTTTTGCTCTTGTTTTAGGACATGGGTAAATTGAAATCACCAATTCCCAATGACAACTGGAAAGAAAACCACACAAAGAATGTGACTTTTTCTGTTTATTTTTAATAGAAACAAATTGAGATTTTTAAAATTTTTTTTTTTTTGGAGAAGCACTGTCCATGTACACATTTCTTTTGGGCTGGCAGAAAAGAGCCACAATCTGGTGGAGGGTGTGGGGCTGGTTATATTTGGGCAGTTTTCCAGTGGGTGCTGGTGGTGGTTATATTCAAGTCTCTCTTGAGTAATCTTTCCCATAGACTCAAATTGACTGCTAACACCATAAGAATTTTTTTTTATGACTAAAATATGGAGCTCAGGGCACCTCTTTTGCACAAGTTCAAGTGTTTCTTAAATGTCAAGTGTCACCAAATCAACTAAATACTTTGTTTCTTAAGCTTATCTTTGATTATAAGAAATAAAACAAGCTACCAGGGTCTGACAGTTCCTGACCTTTGCTCATGCAAATATACAAATACACAACAACACGTCAATCCTAACCACAAGGCTTTGGATGCTGATTTTGGAGAAAACAAGTCCAGGGCAGCTGCCTGAACCCACACCACACCCAACCTCCCATGCCAGGAGCCATGTGGTGCCTACAAGGAGCCAGGAGAGCTCGCAAATTGAACCTTAAGGTTTCTTTGGAGGGGCCATGGTCCAGGATTTTGTTATTACTTTCCCTCTTCCACCACCCCCATTTAGGAAAGACCATTTGGACACCCTGGCAGGTTGGCTTTATGCAGGCAAGTGGTGCCTAAACCTCCTCAATCCTCATCCTGAACAGCTTGGCAAGATTTACACACATGATTTGCAGCCTAGGAATAGAAGCAATGTCCCCACTGTGTGCGTGCATATGAGGGTGGAAGATTTCATCTACTAGTCTACTTAAACACAGATTTATTTTTATTCTTTTTACTGAAAGTGAGCAACTTCCATTGAATCTCCTTGGAAACGATGTCAGGGTCATCTTTCTTCCAAGTGTGCTTGAGCTGCTTAACTAACTTGTCCACTGCATTCAATGCACAGCTTATTTAACATCTTATATACATTATGCCTCCATGAGTGATCCTGCAGGGACCACAAGACATGGAAGCGAATAATCAGTTATTCAAAAGTGTTCAAATCCTTCTCCCACAGCTGGAAGTTTGCCAGTGATGCAACAAGTGGGAGCTTTGAACCCAAATGTCAAAGCACAACCTCAACAAAACAGAAAGTCTCCTTAGCAAATAAAAACAGACCAGGAGGAGACTTGGAAAACATCTATTGAATGGAGATGTCCGTGTGTCTTCAGATCTACTTGAGTTATGTAATGCTGAGACAAAGAAGAGGAACCAGGAGCATCTGCAGCTGGGAAAGGAGGATGAACACAGGGCTGGAGACAGCTGCAGGAGGTGCTGTCCTGGCGGCGACAGTGAGAGCTCTGCTGATGCTGTTGGGCTTCTCCTGGTGTTACAGCAACTGTAAGGCTGCACTAGTTTTTTCCCCCTACTTTTTCTCATTTCATCCTCTCCTCAAGAACAGCAGTGAAAATCAGTTTTGCTGAGCTGTTTCAGCAGATCATACCTGACTCCCCTCCACCCCCATTCCAGGAGCTGTGCTGCTGCTGCGGGGTGGCCACCAGCACTGTTCTAGATGGCAGATACAGCTGCCAGGCTTTTGTATTTTCATTTACAACACAAGAACAAATCCATTGTGGACCTACTATCTCAAACTTCAAAGAGGACTTTTCTAAGCGTGTGGATCTGTTTGGACCAGATGAAAAGGAAAACTATAGATGAGAAGGAAAAATAGAATAATAACAACAACAATAAAAAACCAGTTCTATTTATGAAATCATACTGTTTAAACACTGAGATACAGACTACTGGTAAAGTCCCTTAGAATAGATATTCAGAGAGATCATCACTAGTGACAGGTGAACTGAAAAGGTTTGGGAAATTGAGAAAAATAAGAAATAGATCAGAAAAATCTCGTGGGGAAATGTTCCCCTTTATATTTCTACTATCTCTTGATTTCAGTTCAGCTGGAAATAAATACTGCTGAAACTGTGCTGTTTTCAAGCCCAGAAGTCCCCATGAATACAAAGGTACATGAAACATGGAAAGGTGTGCGTGTTGTCTTGGTTGATGCTGGCTTAAATCTCAGGGACCTGGCTCTAAAGATCTCATGCCAAAACTGCACTGTTTTCCCAGATCCAAAGCAGTTCATCTATGACTAGTCACGATGCTTTAACACAGAGTTCCTCATTTACACAAAACAGGTAAAATACGTCATAAGAGTAACAAGTAAATACTGGAAAAAAATCAGTTGTCTTTGCAGTCAAAATAGGTAGAAAACACAAACTTTTTTTAAAAATTATGTTTTAATAAATTTGGCAGAGGATCATGTTGAAATGCAAATTAATCACCAAGAAAAGTTTAGAAATCTGATAAAATTGTTAGGTAAAAACCCCAAACTGTAAAAATGCAAATGTGCTCACTGGAACTCAAACCCCAGATGAAACAAGAAGAATTAAGTACATTTTTTTTGTCGGGGAGGGGAGAGGGGAAACTGTTTTCCAGAAACAATGATTTCTTGGCTCTTGGTGAGTCCCAGCCTTCCCTTGCAGTCGTGCTGAAGAGCACAGCAGGGCAGGGAAGCTGACACAGAGAATCTTCACTGAGGTTGTTGCATATGTGCGAGACCTTTTCACTTGGAACATGGAAGCGACTGATTTGAATGGCACAGTTTGTACTGAAATGGGGCTGGGTTCTGTTCTCTGGTAGCTGCATTTTGAAAGGTGTAGTATTATTCCTCTGGTTCTTCCCACTAAGACACTCTCCACACAACATGGGAGATGCCTAAACACCCAGCTGACTTGCTGGAGACATCTTTGATGTAGCCAAACCATTTTTTTCCCTAACTAAAGCTTGTCTCAGCTCTATAGAACAAAAGTCATGTGCAAACGATATAATCTCAAACACAGTTGTATGACAATATATATATATAAAAAAGAAATAAATCAAGCATCAGTGTTTCATCTGCACTCATAAAAAACATTTAGACCCCCCCTAACCTTCTACTTCCTCTTCACCCGTGTCTGTTTACTGCAGACACTGATTGTAACTCAAAAATGAGAGTCCAAGCTGAAGCCCACTATGAGAGTGGTTTTGGTTACATTCCCTTGCTTTTGATTGTTAAAAAAATAAAATTGCTGCATGCATATTTCTTTATTTTGGGCACATTTGATGACACCCACTGGCTCTCAGAATTCCTCCTGTAACCTTGGGTGTTTCTGCCACTGGCCCAGCAGGTGTCATTTAGATGTTTGCCATCTCCAGCTGTGCAGAAGTTTCCTTCAGAAAGTTTCCTTCAGAACTCTCATAATGCAGCAATGAGAAAAAAGAAACAATTCTACCATGGCTGGTTTTGTTGCTGCAACTCAGCTCTCTGTTGTAAAAGTATCTACAAATTCATACTAGAAAAATTTGGAAGTCATAGATGCAGCAATGTTTTTCGTTAATAATTAATAATTAATAATTATTTTGGTCCATCTCTTAGTTTTAAACCTCCCTGTTTCTGTTACAGGGAAACCAACAAGTTAAGAAATGTTTGTGCTGCTGTGGCCAGTTAGCACACGGGACAAGAAAAAATGAAATAAAGCTACTGTGTAGGAATGTTAAGAACTGTTTATGTTCCTGTTTAAATAAGTGACAGCTTCTGCCTTGACAGACTAAGCTTATAACAGAATAAGCAGATACAAACTCTGCTTTTATCAAGTATTTCTTCTAAATACCTTTGGATAGACTACCTGTAGTATCATAAGAAAAAAAACTCTCTCCCTCTAATACAATGCCCACATGACAAGGCTGAGTTTTGCCAGAGAACCCGTTCCCAGCACAACCTGCTCAAGTTAAAAAAAAAAAAAAAAAAGAAAAAAAAATAGAAGAAAAAAATTAAAAAAAGGCTTTTGTCCATGTTTTGGACAGTTTTCAGGGATCCAATTCCCCACAGAAACATTCACCAGTACTACATGAAGTGGAACCCCCATTCCTACACTCCTTGTAGGGGTTTCTCTTCACTTCCCAGTCTCACCTGGAATGGTACCCAATTCCTTCTGACCAACACAAAATATTTCAGTGTTATATGTTCCCTTTGCTTTAATTTAAATTCCAAAGAGCCCTGACTCTTCAGCAGATAAAAATCATAAATATGTTTGCCACCCTCCAGCCCACTTAAAAATAAAATAAAATAGAATAAAATAAAGTAAAATAAAATAAAATCATGAGTTAATCCAATGATGAGCAAGGAGACTAGGGCCTCTAGGTCCACTACTGCCATTTAGAAACATGGTACAAGGGACTGAGTCCTTTTGTCTGTTCCTCCAACAGCAATGACCTCCCTCCCCCAAATAAATAAATAAAGCAAATCCTGATTACTGAACTTGGAAAAGCATTTTTGAGATACATGGATGAAAAGCACCTGTTTGCTGTGTGATATTATTATCATCATTAGTATTATTATTAACAACGTGTCTGTTATCAATACCAGTTCCACCAGGTGAGTGATTTTGTTCCTCCTGTCAGGGATGACCTGGTTTGTGTTCACCTCTGGACGGTCAGAGTCCAGAAGAGACTCCTTTATTTTCCTGCCCAAACCAAAGTCCAAATGAGGAAGCAAACACCTTAAGCACCCAGAGAGCAGGTGCTGCTTTTCCCCTCTTGGCTGCTCTGTGCTCATCCCTGCTGCCCTGGGGACAGGCTGCCCTCCCAGTTTGCAGAATTCAAGTTTACACCAGTGCCACCACACCAAAATATGGTTTGCTGGAAAACTCAGGAGCAGGTACTCAACCTCCCTGCTCACACACAAACAGCAGGCATTTCACTTATGTTAAAAAAACAAAAAACCTCAAAAATTTTAAAAACAACAAAAAAAGACGGAACCATGCCAAATCCTGCAAATGCCTTCCCCAAGTTCTCTTCAGTTGGTGTGACAGGGTCCCAGTGCTGTCCCTGGGAGGTACAGCCACAATACTGTTCACATCCAGCTTCTCTGCATCCCTTGCAAACTCTCCACTCCCGCTTTTGGCTATATTCTTATCCAGGGACTGCAGTAAACAAAACTGTACCCACTCCCTAAAGTGACCCTGACACCTGTCATTTACCACAGTTGAACCAGAGGGTGGAAATACTACACCTTTGAAAATTCTCTTGAAACAGCATTTTTTTTAAAAAATGTATCTCTCAACAGAGCTCCTTTTGTGTGTTCTGTAGATTACCCTGCTCCCAACCATACCAGCACCTAAAATTGCTTTCTGAGACTTGAATGTATTGCTGGCAAGACAATCAATTCAAGTGGTAAGGTGTATAATATTTAGAGATAAAGATATATATATTTAAAAAAACCCAATAATAGTAAATTCTTGTAATATGTCTAGTCTGATATGAAAGCTCTCCCTCTACAGAGAGATGTCTGCTGTGATTACCTTACAAAATATTAAAAAAAAAAAAACACACACAAAAAATAACTTTCTCTGTGAGAAATAAAAATAAATCCTAGTGCAAATATAAAGCTCTGTAAACCTGGTCCTATGAGAATCTATGGTTAGTAAACGGCAGTTAAAGCAGGTTTATCCTCTCACAGAGAGAGCTCACATCATGGTTTCCACAATGATATGAGTTGGCTTGATCAATCCGCCATTCGAAGTTCCATTGGGGCAGAAGGGCGTGCCACTCTCCGTTTCTTTGGACCACCGATTCACTTCCTTGGGGGCAGCCACGGCCTTTATCCTCTGCAAGAGAGAAGGAGAGCACAGGTGAGAGGGGCAGGAGGCCTCTGAGAAAAGATGAGCAGAGGGAGATGGGCAGAAAGACTCTGAGGAGAGCAGAGGGGAGAGGAGCAGAAAGCTTTGGAGGAAAGCAGAGGGAGGTGAGAAGAAAGCCTCTGAGGAGAGCAGAGGGAGATGAGCAGGAAGCCTCTGAGGAGAGCAGAGGGAGATGAGCAGGAAGCCTCTGAGGAGAGCAGAGAGAGATGAGCAGGAGGCCTCTGAGGAGAGCAAAGGGAGATGAGCAGGAGGCCTCTGTGTCTCCACGTGCAGGACACGGCATTCCCAGGACAGGGATGGTGGCTGTGGGAGATGTGTGGCTCTGTAAGGATGTGGGGATCTGTGGAGCCTCCAACTCCTGCTCAGCTGAGAGCCTGACTTGAGGCAGGGAAGTCAGGCAGGAGCATTATCCAGCATCCTGCACACAGCCTTCAGTGCTGCAAATGGTGAGCGTCCTCCTCCCTCGTTTAGAAACAGCTCTGCCTCTCAGCCCAGCCTTCACTGCCAAGTGGCAACTTCTGTCCTACATCTCAGCTCACAAAGGAAGAACTGAATGGCATCTGACCAGTGTTTATTCTTTTTCCTTTCCTAACATGGTCTTTGAGCAGTGTTTTGGCTACTTTTAGACTTGTCTCTCATGGTGACAATGAAGGCAGGAAAATTAACACTTATGCCCTGGCCACAGCTGAAAAAGGCCATTAACACTTGGATGAAAACAAATGCAAATGTTTGTGCTCTGGGATATTTGGGTTTGGTATTTTTTTAATTCTATTCTCTTTTTCCTAACCCAAAGTGTCCCACTTTCTTCTCCAAGAATACCCTGAGCTGCATTTAAGATCAACTTGTTAGACAAAAAGAAAACTAATCTGAAAACTTTGAAGAGAACTGCTAAGTTTCATGCTTGCACAGCCTCTAAAAACTTTCCACTGCAAGAAAAAAAAATACAGGAGCCCAGACTGAACTGCAAAGGGCAAGAGATTTCCTGCAAATCCAAACCTGAGGGAATCCGAACTGTCAAGTCTAAATCAGACACAAAGTTTTCCACATACCAGGGCAATCTGGGTCCAGTGTTTTAGTTTGAAATAAAATAAACACAAATTTAAAAAGCTAAAACATAAAGCCCTCTGTCAAGAGGGTTTGACTTTTATTTAGTCCCTCACAGTGAAGGACATGCCTAAAAGCCACACAATCCACAGGTTTATCTGAATTTCCTTGAAATTCAATGAGTTTTCACACAACCAGGTTTGACCCAGGTCTCTCTCTCTTTATCTTGCTTTCCCAGCAATTTTCAGGATGGTGTTTCTGTGTCCCTGGGGGCTGGAGAAGAGAAACCTGAGACTCAGAAACACCCAGTCCTTGAATGTTTGTCTGCACGTGGAGGTAATGATTTGCCAAGCTGGAAGCTGCACAAGTGGAACATGAGTAAAATCACTTGGTGTTTATCAGAGGACAGAAGGCTTTGTGTTTGTTCTCTTTCTACTGTTTGCCCAGAGGACAGGTGATCTTTAACAGTCTTATTTGCCTTACCTGGGCAAGGTGGCAGTTTTCCAAGCATTACTTTGTATAAAACACAACAAGTTAAAGCTCCCTTTCTCCTCTAGAGAGACGATTGGTTGTTCTTACCTCAATGAGTGACCCATCTGACCGAATGATGCGGATGACCATCACCATAGGGATACAGATCATGGAGGAAAGGGCAAGAACCCAGCCCAGGCCAATTGCCCAGTCTGGGTATGTGTAGACCTTGTTGTAGGTCAGTGGTTTATACTTGGCCAAAGAAAAGATAAAGCACCCCTGTGGATGAGAAAGAAAAACAAAGTGAGGCTCAAAAAATGCTTAAAGCAGTAGGACTCTGGTACACCCACTGGCCCTGAGGAAGACAGGCAGTGAAAGGCAGAGCTGATGGATACCATATGTTTTTTAAACCAATGGGGGAATTGTTCTTCCATTTCAATCATTGGAAGAGCATCTGCATCTGCTTATAGCATCTGCTGTGTGATGACAGAGTGCTATGAGATGGTGCTGAACAGCTGCAGTACTCTGCCAATTCTCCTTCAGGGCACAACTATTTGCTGTACACTGCAAGAATACCAGGATGTTCTTCCCACCCAGTGAAATACTTCAAGCCAAGGTCTGCCTCAGACTGCTGAAGTCTTTTTATTACAATGGCCTAGCAGTCCTATGTCTTAAAGTAGAGACTGCTCTTTGGTGAGTTAGTTTTCTCTTCATGAATTTTGCCAATCCTAAGAAAAATCCGCTTAAACACAGCCAACTGCAATTCGTGTGGGCACAGTAGAGAGAGCTGTCACGTTAGAAGCTGACATCTGAGAACATGATGTCTTTGAGAGGTACGTTCAAGCCTTCAGCCTCTCTTTGCAAATTGGCCTCCGAATGCAACAGCCTTCCCTTGAAGAGAAGCAGTAAGAGGTGGCTTAGCACTGCCAAGTGCAAGACTTGAAAGAGCACAGGTTGGTACTCACCACGCAGAGAACTGGTGTGATCACAATCCAGCTCCACTTCATCCAGGGACCAGGTCTGTATCCAATCATATCCTCAATGGCATCATAAATATTATCAGCGCCTGGAAGAATCGAGCAGTAAAAGCCTGTAAATACTGTAGGATTAAAGCTGCTTTCCTAGGCTCCCCAAGAGGTATTTAAAGGGAAGATGAGGATGTCAGATGTATTCTTTAAAATGCTTCCCACAGCTGTGAAGTCCAAGATGATTTTCTTGAAAAGCTCAAATGTTGGGGGATCTCTCACCCCACCCTCCCCTCATTATTTGGCTGCAGGAGTGCGATGCTAATCTCTCCTGCCCCCGTCACAACCCCCCCTCCTCTCTCCAGACTCTCTCTGAACTTTCCAGAGGGATCACCACAGGAAACACTTGACAGCAAACAGTGCACCTGCTTCTACAGGAATCTGAATTTGTTTGTTTTGCTTTTCTGAGGCAATGGAATTCATGGAGAATCAGAGAAATAACCAGTCCTAACGAGCAAACATCTGATTATTCCCCAGCCACAGCTCAGGCAGCTAGAGAGGCCACTGTCAGACTGTGGTGCTTGGCATTGCCAAAAGTAATGGGGCAGAATATACTTTCAGCTTTCTTTTTGTACTTTCTGTTTGGTTGGCTTCTCCCTGCAGACATTGCAGCTCTGAAAGGAAATTCTCTGAGAGACAAACAGAAATTTTCATGGCTGGCCACACTTTCAACTCTTACCTCTAAACGTAACACACAAAAATGCTTAATTGTGCCCTTATTAATTAGCAATGGAAGAATACGCATTTTTTGTGGAAAAAACATTGGAGGTTGGATTCATCCCAGATGTAAATTTGTCTCCAAGAGGTCAGGGCAAATTTATATTAATGGCATGTGTCTGTCGCTGGGAAGAAAGACTCTGGGGTGGCTGATGATTAAATATTTGGCTAGCAAAATTGTCACTGACTCATCAAAAGTTATGAGATGAAAGGATTCTCACTTACCATAAACCCAGGCTACAGCAATACATTCAAAGAATGCAACCCACAAAAGGCATACACCACTAGCTGCATAGTAGTCAAAGAGTTGAAAAACATACATGCCACCCTGTAAAAGAGAGATACAATTGGTTAAGATCCCGGAGGGAAAAAAACCCCAAGAATTCAGGCCCAGCTCCCAGTAACATCTACCAACATATCCCAATGACTCCTGTCGAACAAGAAGCAGCATCCAGCAAACAGGTAAGGTAAATATTTGGCATTACCTTCCCCAGGGAATATGCATGTTTACTACAGGAATGACTCCAAACAAGGCAATGATTAAACAAAATTAAGCCACTTAATACAATCTACTGAGACACTTAAATCTTTCCTTCTTACAGGTATTTTAGGATGGGCATTTAAAGAAACAAATGGTTGCCTCATTAACATATTAAAAAGACTAAAAATGAAAGTCAGTTCATCAGATGGTTCTTCATTTATTTATTGAATGAAAGGGCTTGTTTCATGAAAATAGTTCATTTTTTTGTTTTATAACTCTATTTGTACTCTGCTGTTAGACTCTATTCTTACTACACTGCATTTTCACTTGAAAAACTGTGGGGTTTGGGCATCTTTGTTACAGGTGCTATTTTACCTCCCACAGTCATGGTCTTTCACTTTTTTTTAAAATACAACTTGGATTTTATTTTGAAGATAAATATCACAACAGTGCAGGCACTGGAACATAGTCCTGTCTTGTTTACACTACAATAAACCAAGTGGAATTTAATTAATTCAAATCTGTGTAAGATAAAAATCTCTTTTCCTGCATGCCACTGGATGGGTTCTCAAAGTGCTCTGCTGAAGGTTTCCTCTATGTTTCATCAGTCAGAACTAGCTGTTAACACTCATACTCATGTTGACTGGTACCTGAGATCAGATTGAATTTAATGAGGTTTCATGTGTCTGCTCCTGTGACTGAAAAGGGAAGGGACATGTAACTCCCATTCAAAATGCTTTCAGATGTAGGGATGAAAGATGCACTGTCCACCTAAAAAGCTCTTCTCCTCTGAGTCACTTGTTCTTTGCAGTCTCAATCACAGCTAAAACTGGCCTGAAAAATGGCTAAAGAAGAAGGCAATTTGCAGCACTGGTACCACTTACCTCAGTCACCATAGTTAGTCCCAGAAGATAGCTAAGGAAACACACTATAGCGATGAAGATTTCCCGTCGGTAACCCTTCCTTAGGAAGGATGGGTGCAGATCAACTAATGACGTGATCTGTCCTTCAACTTCAACAAACTACAGGGGGAAAACAACAGTGGAGAAATGACTTGGAGATCACCTGTCAAGCAGTTCATCCAGGCTCCTGCTTGAACAAACCCTCCCCAGCAGCACCCCAGCCCTGTGCTCTGCACTGCTCTCAATAAAGAAACAGAAACCGTTCCTTTGTAACCCCGAGGTTGGAGCGTGGGGGTAGCTTTCAGGTTGGAACAAGCTTTCAGAACTTCTTTTTATTACCTAGAAGCCTTAGGAGCTAAAAAGGGGCTCTGCAAATGCAAGCCACAAGGATGAAGGAGGCACTTATGCGCCTGATGACAGGAAGGTACTTATGTGGCTTTTATGCTTTATTTCACTGTTCCAGATGAACATAGGATGTATGCTAGAGAAGAGGCAGAGGGAAAACACTCAGAAAAGTCCAAGCTAGCACAGTAGCTCCCAGACTTTTTCTGATGTGCCAGGAAACATCACAGATACTAGTTAGGTTAATTCCACAATTTGATATAATTCTGCTGTTGGGTTTGTTAGTGAAAATCCAGCCAAGGCAAAGCAGACTGTGATGTGAAACAGCAGCTCTTCTTGACTGGATGTGTCCTTTATGGAGCTGTGAGAGGACTATCTCTGATGGAGGCTCTGGGTTCTTCTGCAGCAATACTGGAACTGTTCATACAGTCCACATTCAATGATCTGGCAAACTATTTGCACTTGTAAACCAAAAATGAAGCTCTGAATAAATGAGCTAGAAGTCTTTATCTCACTTCATGATAACTGTATTTATACTTACTTGTCTTTGGAAAACTGTACAACTGGGTAACTTGAGTTAAGCAAATAACCCACACTGGATTTGAATAAAAGTTGAAAGTTAATTAAAAACCAGATCTTTCTGCACCTGGAGGAAAGCAACTACTGAACTTCCCCAAGTAAAACCACGGAAGGGATCTTTTGACCGATCTGTACTTTCAACCCGGCAAGGTACAAAAGCACCAAGCTCACTGAAGACATGAGGATATGGATTGTAGGTATCCATCAAGGCTGCCTCTGTAGAAAAGATCTTCACTTTAAGTACATACATCATCTTAACTAACAGCTTATCACGGGGAACCTAAGACAGAAGTTATTTCAGAAAAAGCTGCACTTTCCTACCTGGCACCTCATTGCTTTTACAGCACCCAGAAATGCCCTATATAACAATGTACCCTCTTTCCTGAAGTTCTATTTTGGAAATACAGACTGTTCTGCAAACAAATTTTGGCCTCCACCAAATTTTATTGCCTCCTGTCTTGTTACTTTGACTTGTGTAAAACTGGTTTTCTTTTTAAATGCAACCCTTTCCTTTGAGCTGATTTGATCTGAAACTGCTCTGGCATTCCAGAAACCTGCTTGACTGCACTCCAAAAAACCAGAGGGGTGGAGGAGAGAAATTAAGCGCTCCAATTAGTTTTAATCATTCTGCCCAGTGAGGAGCTTTTTAAAATTACTAGACAGCTTCCAATTTGCATAAGCATAGGGTTGCTGAGCCAGAGCATTGGGTACTTTCACATTTACTTAGGAGCAATTGAGAGTTGCTCAGTAGAGTTCAAAGATTAAGCCATAAAGAGCAATTTAGATCAAATGAAATGAAAAAAAAGTCAGAGATTAAGTACACAACAACTGGGTAAAAATTCCATTTACCGAGCTCTCCTCATATGAGAGAGCATTTAGGCTACAGAAACATTTCATCCTTATGAGTATATATATATATATATATTTAATCTTAGTGGCTTTACATTTGAATGCAGAAAATTCTGGCAATTTTGAATGTGTAGTTACTGCATAATGCCTGGTCACCCATGTTTCCTTGTAAGTAGACTATCTAGTAATAATTTACAGGTTCCTTGGCAGTATTTGTCCAATATTCCTACAAGTAACCATTGGGAAAAATAACCTAACTTCCTGACTGAACTTTTTGGTTTTTTTCATGCTCACTAATTAATAACAGTGTGTGCTATAAAATTAGTGCAGCTGGAATCTGAGATGCTTTCTGGCCTGTTTGGGGGTACTGAATGCATGCTGCTGACGTGAAAGTCAGCAGGATCCCACATTGCTCAGCACCTCCAAGCCCAAGGCCACCAAAAAAGGCGGCAGCTTTGTCCTCTCACTGTTCTTGAAGCCACCCTGGATATACTGTACAAAACATTATGTGCTTTTTTGTACCTCATGCTGACTTTGCTTTTCTTTTTTGACACTTGGCAACCATCAAAACCCTTACTCCTAGTAGTTATTAATTGTTAGTTTTTTAATGATGGTGTATACACCCTGCAGGTGTTCGCAATGGCACAAAGGACTCTGTGGAACAGACTACTGCAGTCCTTTATGTTTTAGAATGATTAAGCTTTTTTTTCCAAAGAATGAAAATACTGTGACCAAAATGGTGGTATTTTGTGGCCAGACTAGGAGTGAAATTCAGTTAGGGAGTACTGCACTAGTGGGACAGACCTCACTAACCCTTGATGACAAAGATTTACTGAGCAACACAATATTATGAAGTTGTAGAATCATCAAGTGCAGCCCCTACAGTAAAAAGCAACCCAGATGAACTCCTCTCAAGCAGCATTAGGGGTATTCTCTTGTTAATTCATCCCTGTAAAACCAGCTTTTCTCGGTGAGCAGAGCTGGCACAGTAAGTCACACATCCCTCATTCATTGTACTAACCTGGCTATCCAGTCCAAGCAACAGAAGCATAATAAAAAAAAGGATTGCCCAAAAGGTGGGCAGTGGCATCATGGACACAGCTTTTGGGTAGGCAATGAAGGCCAGGCCTGGACCTAGAGAAAGAGAAAATAGGGAGGGGGGAAGGGAAGGGAAGAAAAGTAGTAAGTACCAGCTCTTTTGTAAAGGCAGCCACCCTCAAATTCAGGAATGCCTGGTTCCGTTCAGATAAATCCAAACGCAGCTGGAAATACCAGAAATGAAACAGTTTGGCTCTTTTATCTGAAATCGAAGCACGCATAACTACGGCAGAAACCACGGGCAAACCCCCAAGGCCAGTGCTAACAGATCTCCAGTTTTAACATCTGTCTCAAACATGCCAATAATGGAGGTGTCCTACACCTGCCCTGCACGGACACAGGACAGTCTCGGGGCCAGGGGACAAGGGGTGACCCAAGGGAATGGCAGAATCCCACTGCTAGCCCACATGGTCATGATGAAGATGATGATGATGAAACTCTTTTGCATGCAGGGAAGGGGACTCTGCTATAAACATTCCCTGGGATTTCCACTAATGCAACGGCTGCCTCCCTCTGTATGCAACCTCCAAACCCTACATGGCTTTTCTAAGCTGGGGTTTGCACTCCAAGGAGTTTGCTCCTTCTCTTCTGCAAACCCTCCCTGCTGCACTGAGTGATCAGGCTACTCCTAATTTTACCAACTGAAAATTGAGAAAACTGCTCTTAGGAACTGCTGGGGTGTAAAATCACTCTGTGTAAAATTGCTTCCCCATGCTGTTACACCATCTGCCCCTATCCAGGCCAGCCTACGTGGACCTGCCACGGTGACACTGACATGGTGACCATCATCAGCCCCAAGTGCAGGATGGGCTACAAGTGTAGGAGGACCAGCAGAGCTGGGGCTGAGTGCTTGGGGCTGAGTGCCCAGGTTCTCTGCCCTGGAACCCAAAGTGTGGAGTGCTCCTCCCTAGGTCTGGCCTGCCCTGTGACCAGGTGTCACCTCACTTGTACCCACACACGGAGCACAGGCACAGTGCTCGTCTCCAGAGGCACCCTCACCTGGAGCCAGCTGCTATCAGCTGTCCTTTGTGAGAGCTTTTGTGGAGAGAGGAAGAGCCCTCCACCAGTGGGAGACAGGAACACTGGCAACTCTGCATTTAGGGCAGGGTCTCAGAGGAGATGAAGAAATTTGGTGGGGCTGACAAAAAATTCTGAGGGCAGATTACAATACAGAGTGAAACCAGGAATGCCTGGCTCATCTGCTTGTTTACTTTGAGGAGCCTTCAAAGTTCCAGTTTTCAAGTGGATTCATGTAATTTTCAATGGGAAAATGAATTTTTTTAAGATGCTGCAGTGTGGGGCCAAAAAAATCTCATCTCTGATCTGTACAGAAAAATCTCTAACACTGCTCTTCCTACCTCCCACTTTTCCTTTCCAACAAGAAAGATGGAAAAAGAAGCAAGAGAAAGAGGTAAAATGAGATGACTTTTTTCAAAGTAAAGAAAACTTTCAGTCACTGAAAATATTTGAACATAAATAAATACAAATTAGCCAACAATCAAACAACTAATTTTATTTTAGTGAAACACAACTAAGACTTTATACGACAGAAGATACCAAAAAATTGGTGAATGTCTCAAATTTTGGGGAGCTTTGCTTTTTTCACCCTTAATTCAGTGGATACAGTAGATCCTCTCTGAGGGAGAGCTGCTAACAGATGGCATTTACAGCTGATCTGTGCAATTGATGAGACAGATGTAAAACTGCTCTCCTCAAAATTTGCTGCAATTTGTATGCTTTGGCCAATGAAACTGTTCTTGCACTGTGATACCAACTAATACCAAGTGCCCTAAGCCCTGAGCTATATTTTGATTTTCCTTTGAAACTAAGTGTTGAAATATAAAAAGTCCATGTGAAAGAAAATGTTCCTGGCAAGCCCTCAACAGAAACACAAATAATCTAAAATTTGTGTTTAATTTGAAACCCTGTTGTTTTGAAGGGTGTTTTGCAAAAGTGAAGCACTTGTGGCTGCTATTAAAAGCCAGTGAGCACTGCCATGATCCCAGCCCACGCACTGGCCGATTGCCATGGGGTGCTGTGGCATGGCTGGAGAGCTGCAGAGGCAGAGACCAGGCAGGCACCAAGAAACCCAAGGCACTATTGTCAGACAAGCTTAATCTGAATTTGTTTGCAAAAGGAATTAAAAAAAAAAAAAAAAAAAAAGTCAAAAAGCAAATCTTGTGCTGGTGTAACAGTGCTCCAAATTGCATGGGTGGTAAAGTATTTTTTCCAGCCAAACAGAGGCCACATGGATTAGACAGGACTCATTATGGTTTTGTTGAGCCCTACTGCTTTTCTCTCTATCTTTAAAAGAATTTCTGAAAAGAAAAAGAAGCTGTTATTTAAAATCTGCTTTCATTCAGGAGTCAGAAGTCTGAGTTAACTTTTGAGTGAGTTAACCTGCTGAAGCCAGTGAAGGCCAGCAGTGACCAGTGCTTTCAGCAGGAGCCAGCCCTGGCTGACAAGTGTGACCCAGGCACATGGCACCAACACTGAATTTGGCACTGGGAAAAAATGTGGCCATGAGATTCTTCTGTCAGCAAATTTGTTGATGTTCCCGTGGCTTTCAGGAGGGCAAACAAATGGTGTCATGGATAGGGCAGGAGGAATTTAACTCGCTGGGCAGGGATGAGGTCTCAGCCCTGCGGACAACATCTTCTGCCAAGTGCTGCAGCCAAGTGGCAGCACCTCTGCTTGCTTTTTCCTGACCCAGGGGAGCAGTTCTGACCTTGCATCAAAAGAAATCAAAAAAGGCAAAGCCAGAAAACAGAGGCTCAAGCACCTGCTGAATCCTCCTGTGCTGAGAAGAAGCAAGGAAAACTTCTCCCAGAGCCACATGCAGGTCCTGGGACACTCGTCCCAGGGGGACCAAGGGTCTTCAGTAGCTCTGCACTTATCTCTCTGAGAAAAGCAGCAAGAAAACAGGTGGTTTGGATACTTTTGGAGGTGGTTTGGATACTTTTGGATAATTTCAGTAGTGCTTACTGTCATGTAAAAATGTTCCCTAGGACTTAGCCAAAGGCCAGCAGTGATGGGCACCCACTGCATGGCGAGCCATCAGTGGCGAGCAATCTCTGGCCATCAGTGACATGGATTTAAATAAAGGAGTAGACAACAAAATATGCAAAAAAATCAAAAGGAGAGTTCAGATGTGAGTCTGTGCACTTGCTGTCCCTAAAATGAGCTATTAAACCCCTCCTCTAAAAAAAAAAAATGCTTTTTGAGGTGCTGGAAATATGCTATTTAAACACTGAGTTAATTTGTGTTTAAAGATTACTTAACAATCCAGTGTTACTATAGAATTGTTTAATTCTAGAAATGTCAGGTAACAGGAATGTAGCTGCCTCTATCAGAGATTTAATAATAAAAATTAGAATAAATATTGACCAGATAAAAACCTAATGTACAAATACTTAAAAATACTACTCTTGGAATTGATCCACCTACATATAAATACAAAAATAGGGCTACTTATGGTTCATTCAATAGGATTATTCCCTTGCTTCCTGTTTCCAAGCAAAGCAATCAACCTCCAATCCAAATAAGCATTATGGCCAAGATTGTTACTAATTGCACTTGCAAGAGTTATGCCAATTGCAGTCACCCAAGAATCCAGCGGTGCCATCAATGCCATTAGTTTTTCATTAGCCCTTGTGAAGTGAGACATTTTTCTTAAAGACTTAACTCCCAGAGCCATGTGATTAGAAAATATATTGACTTTTTCATTTTAACAGCATGTTTGCAGAGGAAAGCTTTCAAATTCTATGCAGGTGAATTAAAAGTGCTCAAAAAATTAGAAAGAAATAACAGTGCACTCAGGTGACATTGTTATTACTAGAATCTGATTAGCTTTAAGCCTCATGGCTGTCAAGGCCTGATTCATTATTTTTCCATGGTAATTCCCAACTAATCTGTCTGCTCTATGTGAAAACACATGGTTACACCTGCCCTCGTGGACTAGAAATGCACAGAGGAAAAATGTCATCTGTTTTGTTTGAGATACAGTCACAAGCTATGAGGATTGAGCTTCCACTTCTGCCTGTGCATAGGTGAATGTTAATGGGAAGGACACTTCTGAAATAAGGGAGGAATCTAAATGTACATCAGATTTCAAAATGGACTTTGACAGTTCTGTTAACCTCACACTGAAGCTACAGAGAACAAATGCATGATTGCAACACCTAGAGTTCCTGCAGGTGAAATGGTTCACAAAACCCTGGAGATGGACTTCTCCAACTGCTCTTGCCCTTCAGTGACATTTGGGAATGTATGTGTGTGTGTCCCTTCAAAAGGCCAAGGTACTAATCCCACCCTAGTGCTGTGAGCAAGCAATACTAAGCTATGAAAAATACATAAACACTGGCAATTTGCATTTGAATGAAAATAAAAGTAGTCTGAAAAGAAGGATGGAATAAATTCTTGAATCAATGACATTCTGGACTCTGGACAATGGTGTAGTTATCTTAGCTCTAATCTCAAATCAAATGGATTAGCACACTCTAGGAAATGTGTTTGCTGCCCTGTTAATCAAGACAGAGTAAACAGTACAACCCCAGCTAACCCTCACTGCTCTAGATTAAAGCCCAAATCAACAACGTGTTTGTTTTTTTTTTTTTCCTGGCAATTATGGGAAATCTTGTTCTATCACTTAGATGTTAGCTGATTGGGTCTGCAGAACTTTGCTCACACGCTGGGCGGCAGTGCCCACCACCACTGCCACCAACACCATCGTACCTGACTCTGCCACATCAGCAATGTTCACCCCTTGCTCTTGTGCCATGAAGCCCAGGACGGAAAAAATTGCGAAGCCAGACACAAAACTGGTACCACTGTTCAGGCATCCCAGCAGCAAACAGTCCCTAAGTCACACATATGTCATGGAGCAAGTTAATTAAAAAAAAAATTAACCCATTGTCCCTACTTTATTTACATCATTTAGCTAAAACACTAAACCCCCTTGGGTGGAAACTTGCCTATAGCAGTTGTATTTGTACTTGTTGTAGCTCCCCAGGGAAGTCATTGCTCCTAAGCAGATTGCATATGAGAAGAAGATTTGTGTCCCTGCATCTATCCAGACCTAAAGGGAAAGATAGAAATACTGTTACTACCAGCATTGTTGCATTGCAATAATCAACACAAACACACAGTTCAAACTAAGCAAAATCTACAAAATAATTGTTTCCATTGAGGGTGAAAGCTAAAGGACCGGGGAGACATGGAAAGAGAACAACACAATCGCAAGTTTGGCTTTCACAAGGAAAAGAAAATTGTTAGCATCAGAATCCAGAAGAACATAATCTCTACAACAGTTCCTGTTTCCCCTCCCCAGAGATGCTCAGTATTTCTAGTCTCTTAGTCATTCAGCTGATCCTTCCTGTTGGCACAACAATAAACGTGTTTCAACGCAATAGGAAATGCAGAAGTATTTATAACATTGCTCATTTCTCTTGTAACTAATTTCAGTTAGAGTCAGCCGACAGAGTCCTTAAACTGAGGATGTGAAAAGCTTGAGAAACAGGTTTGTGTATTTGGTCTATTTATTTTTCTAGCTTTCTGGTTGTTTTTGTACCTGTTCAAATGCAAGATAAAAAGCCATAGGGGTGGGGGGGAAAACAAGCAAAATACAATGCACTTTATAAGATACATATCTGATCTTGGTCTCATGATTCTTTGTCCTGATTACATTAAAAAAAACACATAGAGAGTGAAATAACCATACACTATGAACTTCTTGGCTAGTAAATACATAGCAAGCTATCAAAACACATCCTCTGAATCCCATCTGTTCTCTTCTTTCTGCAAATTCAAGTCTGCTAACACCAGCGGAAACCACCAAGGAGTTTGAGTAAGTGAGAATGTAGACTGAGGACCATTACCTCCTCCCTCCCACCACCACTTCCCAGCACCTTGCTGAGAAGACTGAGGAGACTTCTGTCTGCTCGGAGTGATGCTTTTGCTAGACTGTGGGTGGGAGCCAGCCAGCTCACATGAACCTCTCCTACATTATCTGCTGACACTCTGGTTAGGGCTAACAGTAGATCATAAAAATGATAGGGTCCCATAAAAGAAGATTAAACTATAAAATATAATGTCTCCTGTGAAAAGGGTGTCTTGTGAAAGAGGACAAGACTAGACAATGAACCAAATTTTCATGATGTTTCTTTCAATTACCCTTTTCCTACTTCAGTCCTTTAACGACCATTGGAGTTTTATTTTAACCTAATACTCATTAGAAAGCAATAGCTAAGACAGATGTTATTTCCTATCACTGTGACAAACATTTTATTATTTTCAAAGATCCCTTGTGTTCTTTTCTTTTTTTAATGGGGGAATATTTAATTTTTTTTTTTCTCACACAAACACTGTTAGCTGAAACAATGCTGATCTGCTCAAGTGTCCCATACTTGCACTCTGTGAGCACATACAGAATTTCTATCTATACAGAAAAAGTAACCCTGGCTCCCACTACCCAGGGCTAAGCAAGTAGTTCCTGTGCCTCAGAAAGCATTTTCTCCACCATTGCATAGCTTTTCATTCTTCTATGATTTCATTCACTGCTCTCCCAGTCTCCTCCTATTGAGCAGTGGGAGACAGGTGACACTGATACTCACAGTTGTTGCTTGTTGTTCCATCTGTGAAGCTCACGTGTCTCTCCTTTGAAACTAAAGACTATCCTCATTAAAAAAATGCATCTCCCTTACCTTACCAACAAGAAAGCTGAGATTGTATAACGGGACAGAGTCTACAGCCTCAGAGTCCTTTGACACAAAAAAAATACACACGCATACACACAAACATACACATGGAAAGATGCATTAACACATTTAACAGTGACCTTCTCAAGCAGAGCTCTGGAAAATATAACCCAGCATTAAAGTTCATGCTATATTTGGACCTCTAAAGACTGTGGAAAAAAAACTGATTGCCATTACACCAACACCATCACCCTCCTCCCTTTGCACAGGAAATCATCCCGCTCCCCACTCCTGGTTCTGTACCTGGGGGTCAGCTAACCGTGAGATGTCAGGGTAAAGATAAAACTTGATGCCTTCTGCAGCTCCGGGCAGGGTCACGCCACGGATGAGGAGAACAAGGAGCATGATGAATGGGAATGTGGCAGTGATGTACACTACCTGGAAATAAGAAAAGAAAAAAGGAAGGTTTAGTCTGCGGCAGCCAAAGCTCCAGAACCAAGAGAGGTCTAACAATGGAATTCAAAGCCCCCTCATGCCTAAAAAATTCAGAAAACTCCAACCTGAGTTTCTGTGTCTACTTTTAGTTTAGTGCTCTTTAACACCTTATTGCCTTAGGCCTGAAGGCAATGCATGAATCCCTCCAGAGGGCCCCATCACTGGTTACATCACTCAGACATGATTTTATACCATTCATGACTTTTGTTCAAATTCTGCCTTTGTGTTTGTCCTCCTCACATGTTAAGAGCACCTCTGCCAGGGAAGTGAAAAGGTTTACTCACTGAGGGCCCCTGAAACATTATTACCTCATTCTTTACTGGAACTTTAAAACTTACAGATGGCAAACTGTTTCGCAAGTTCTGCTGCTACCTCTGACCTTGCTGTGCAGCCCCACTGCTGCTCCTACAGTCACCCTCCCCAGGAACTGTGTTCAGAGGTGAAGGTCATTTAGTCCATGCTCCTGGGTCTCCCTTCCTATCTCCTTGAACACATCAAGCCCTTCAGGTTGGCATCAGCCTCACCAGTGGTAATTTCCAGTCCTATAACTTCATTCTTGCCCTTGCTGCCTATTCAGCAACATCATTACTGGAAACTAAGGCTCTATTCATCCCGTTTCAAAATATGTCTTCATTATCTTTAACCTCTATTCCCACTCTCTTTGAATAACAGCCTACTTCTTCTCTTCTTGTTATCTCCTCATTCATTTGATGAAAGAGCCCTTTGCTTTCATCTCCAGCACGAGGGTTAATTGAGCTTGCATTTGGACGGTTCTATCTTTAGACCCACACTTTTTGACCTCTAACATTTTGTTTTCTTTGCTCATCAGTGCTTTCCCTCATTTTTTTTATAGAACTGCTGTGCTACAGTCACTACTGTCCAAGAAAGGGCATTTTTCTTGGAGTCAGATGATATCCTCAGGTAATTACAGTTTGCTGCCATGAGTTAAAATGTATTTTTGTTTTTCAGAATTTGCTTAACTACTGCAAAGCTCCCAGGATGCTCCATTTTTCTTCATAAGTGTGTCCTCTGAGAATAATGAGGATAACTCAAAGCCTGTATTGCCATAATAATTCACAGAGCAGGGTTCATTTCATAGAATGAAATACATACATAGCCTTTTTAATTATCAATTTGAGTTTTCTGATATTTTCCACAAATAACATGTAATGCACATGTTTCACCAAAACCAGGATAAAAGGAGGATTTCCACATCTTCTTATTTTTTTTTAAATAAGCCAGGAGTATGAAAAAAACCAGTTTTCCTACCAAAAAAAAAAAAAAAGTTTTGATGTATTTGCAGGAACTGAATGAACAAAATCCCACAGAGAGGTCTTTGCACTGCAGCTAGAGATTCTCTCACAATGCTGCAGGAATTTTTTTTAAGATCAATCACATTATCTAAAACTTAAGCATACCTAATATTTTTCATCATGATTTCATATTTATTTGTCCAAAGCTTTACTGAAAGATTTGAAAACGACAGCTTCCCCCTACCCCCACCCTGCTCTCCAAAGAGCCATTAACACACTGGAAAGCAGGGAAGTGCTATAAACAACCCTCTACTAAAGTAAACTAGACTTTTCAAATAATTCAAGTCCTCCATTAGAGTTTACAGTTTACTTTTGTTTGACCCCAAAGTTAATGGAGTCAGCCGGAGACTTTCCAATGGTTTTGTTGGTCTTTGGCTGCACGAGCCCCGATGCTGCAGAGAGCAGAGAGTGAGCTCCTACCAACCAACCTGCTTTAGACATGAGACCATTTTGCAGGATTTGCAGAAAACACAGATTTTTAGGTATCTGCTTTTAACAGACCTGTTTTCAACCTTTTATCTTCATGGGGAGTGGAAATAGTACCACAGGGAGCTTGGAATGCCTCTCTGTGCTACCAGAGCTTTTTCTGAGCAGACACCAGGGTTGTGAAAGGTGCTGCAGAAATGCTCACTCTCATCGTGCTGCTGCAGGACATTTACTGCACCCAACATTACTATGAAACTTGCAGAATCTCCTCACTGAGTCACATCAATCAGAGGGAACAGAGAAACAAACACTTTTGTCAATGCCTGCTATAAAAGTGTGGAAGCTGCTCTTTGGGGGAAAGGTGGAGGGAATCCAGGGTAAGGTACCAGCTTTTTAAAGAGGCTCACTGATAAAAATCACAGAAAGCAAGGCAGAAACTGCAGTAAAGCAAGTGGTTTAGTCAACAGTGGAACTCATGACGTCTGGCTTCCTACAAAGTTTTGTCTCCTGGTTGATTCTGCAGTGTGCAACAAGCTAAAACTGTTAAATGATGCTCTCTCTGCAGCTGAGGCACTTGGAATTTCTCCCTGTGACTTCTCAGACTTATAAAAGATGAGTTCACACTGTGGCCTTTTTCTTAGGAGGGGCACTAATGGGGTCACTTCCTCCCACCTAGCTGAGAAGAAATGTGGGCAACTTAGTGCCTTGAGATCCCTCCTCCTCTGTCAGACTCATCTGAACAGTGCCTCAAGCAACAATTTTGAAAGCTAAGAATTACACAAACACAATGGCTTAAAAAACTTAGGAAAATAGTATAGAACCACTACTGAATGCAAGGGGGAATAGTGTTATGCTTCACACCAAGTGACGGACCAAGACTTGCAATGGAGCAGGATGTTCAGGAGGGATGCAACTGTTATCCTTTACAAGAAAACATGATTCTGAAGACCATGTGATGGGACCAAACCCACAAGCTATGCAGGATCTTTGTTAGTGACAATGCTCCTGAACGAGTACCTAAGTTTAGCCTTGTGTGTCCCCACAGAGCTCCTCCGCAAGTGAGCGGCATTTCAAAAATGCTGTGCCTCCACAACACCCCTACCACAGCTCTGCCAGCATCCATCCTGCTGCACTGGGATGAACTGGGCTGGAGTGAGAACACAGACACACAGTGCAGAGCACCACCCACCACAAGCCTGAGACCTTCCACACTCATGACATCAGTGGGATGTTTGTCCTCTGAGAGCCGAGGTGGGGCTCAATCTGTGCTTGTATCTGCTTCCTGATGCCCTTCCAGTAGTGGCTACTTGAGTCACAGGCATTTCGGACATTGGCAATGACCTTCAAAAGCCAGTTGAATTCTCTTACTCAATGGAAAAACACAATTTTTCCAGGAAATGGTGAACATCTTCCAGAACAGCATTACTTGGTATTCCCAATGTCTCTAAGTGCAATGATTTTAGAATGGGTAAAAGAGCACTTACCTTCCCAGTGGATTTGACTCCTTTCCAAATGCAGAAGAAACATATCACCCAGACAAGGAGGAGACACAGTGCAAGATCCCACTTGATAATACCAATATCTTCAATTCCCGAGGACAAGCTCAGCACATTGCGCCTGAATATTTGAAAGGAAACAAAAGAAGAGAGAGATGCAGGAGCTCAGTTGATGCAGACTCTGGCTGTGATGGCTAAGAAGACACGATGGTGTGCAGGGCAGCTGATGCACAGACAGATCTCTGCTCTCAGAACACATGCTAAGTCAGTGGCTTATGTGAACAAAGCTGTGCTTTGTAACCCTACATCTCCCCAATATCCATGGGACTCCTTAATTCAATATATTGCAATTAAAAACCTCAAGCTCATTTTAGCAGCCTATGACCACCCCAATATGAGAAAAAAGAGTATTTGCTTTCGTGAAGACCGAAGACCAACTTGCCCCAGTGAAGCAGCCTGGCAGTAGCACACACCATGTCTCCATCATGGACACTTGCAGCTGACCTGTATCCACAAGTTTCTGCTCCTTTGCAGTTCACTAGCAAGGCTGCCACGAGGAGGAAAGGGAAAAAGCAGTGCAGGGGAAGTGTCAGGCCATGCAGCTTTGCAGGGTGAAGGCTGGAGCCATTTATCTCTTTTTCCCCAAACAAACACTGCCCAGGTGCTGCCTCCTGCCCTCAGCACCCCCAACACCAGGGTCTCATTTAGCTAACACCAGATTATTTAGGAAATTTTATTCCCTCTCTTAGGTTAATAAATAAAAAGTAATTCCTGAGCTGTGTTTTAAGGGAGCAACATCTGACCATTAAAAGAGTCTGATCCAGATGGGAAATATTCATTAAGGTTTCTCTCTTTTCAAAATTCCCAAGCTTACCGCTAAATACTTAATTCAAACTGTTTTTCAAATAATTTCATGCAACATACACTGTCCTCACACACTGCACAGGCCTTGTCATACTCAACACTTCATTTGTCAAATATGTAAAAGAACAAACTGTTTCTTACTGCTCACTAAGCTAAAACTCTGCAAATGAGCCCAGTAAACTCTGCAAGGTTTTTTTAGTCAAAGAAAAGTTTTGACCTCAATTACCACAGAAATGCCTTGCCCCAAGACTACAGAAGAGAACTTGCTATCATCTAACCAATTTTTTTATTAATTATTAGTTAAAATTTACTTTCAGACAGCTGTAAAAGTCAGGCACTTTCACTCACCAGAGTCATGGACAGCAGAGCCCAGAGCAGTCTGGGTCAGGGCCATGTGTGGCGTGCCCAGCTTTGCGTGGGGATCCAGTACAAGACAGACCATGGTGGTTTGGTTTTCCCCCAACTAATGAATTTTTTTTTGTTTTGTTTTTTTTTTTTTTGCTATTACCATGGAAAAAATAGTGAATGAAGTCACTGATGGAAAATCTGCAATTAGTTTTTGGAAAAAGCCCTGGATTGACCAGTTTAATAGGACTCAAACCCGTGCCCATCTGTTTTTGCATCTCGGCTTGCCAAACTCACTTGGATTACCTGTGTGACCGTGTTCTCACACCAAATGCTTTCTGCTCTCTGAACGTGTGTGTATTTTGTTATGGAAAAGGACTAATGGCACCAGACAGGGTAAGTCTGCCCTAATCAGCACAGCTATTCAATAGTTATGAGAACCCTCCCAGTAATGAATATTTGGCATAAAGTTGCAGTCTTGCTTCACCTGAGCCTAAAGAAATAAAGGAAAAACCTGCTGTGCATATACAAAAGAAGAAAATACATTTATAAGATGAAAAAGTTCAGCTGCAACCTTCTATGCCTTTTTAAAAAGTAAATGGCAATTTTCCAGTCAAAGGGGCAGTTCATATTGAAAAAGCAATCTATAGAGCTGGCTCTTGGGAAACAGTGCATAATTAACTGCAAATGCCTTTTGGAATAGGGAGCTTTATTAATGCATTCAGATAAGACTTTGCTTTTTACTGCAGAACTAAAAGCAAGTGGCCATCTCTCCTAGAGTTTGCCCCAGCAATTCTTTCAAGATTTTTTGCAAGACACCCCAGTGGGTGACTGAGAGACAGATATCTTGCTTTTCCATGCTTTTCTTGCTTATCCCATCTCACAAAGACTGACTTCCTCAAGGAGTATGTTGAGAATTACTACGGGAGGTTCAGCATTACATTTTATGACTTCTAGCCCTACATATTTTTGCAGAAGCACTCAACATGGATTTTTGACCCTGTAAATTCAAGTTCAGGAAGGAGCATAAGCTGAGCTGTGCTGATAGCTCTTCAATTTTGTTACACAACCCCCAAGCTACTGAGATTCAGCCAAGCCCACTCAGCTACCTTCACACCACTCACACATGGAATTGTTAGTCATTCAGATTTATAGTCTGATGCTGTCATTAACTGTCACTCGTGTATAATCAATGGGACAACAGGCTGGGGCTGAGTTTGTTATGAACAGGAGTTCTTGACCCTTGAACACTAATATGTTCTAGTGTGTGCAATATGGAAGTGTAACAGGAGCTGTAACTGCCTGTACAACATAAACAAAAATAAAATGAAGAGAGTTATGCAATCCTTGGGGGATATTCCAGCTCATTAATCAAGTGAATGCAGACAGGACCTTTCAAACCAGGAAAGGTGAAGCACCCTTTCATGTTGGATGGACAAGAATAATTAACACTGAAGAGGTTGTACAGAAGAATATAAAAATGAGAATATGAAACAATTTAAAAAACTCTCATGTTTGCTCTTAAAGGCAGAGACAGCTGCTCTAGATTTTGTTTAGTTTTTTGTGTTGCTGCCTTCAGGATTACATGCCATTAGCATGTGATGGTCTTTCTTGGGATTTGGACGAATAAAATCTGCTGATTACCAAATATTTATAAACACTTGGCCAGCACCAGACAATCAGAGGTTTTGTTCAACCCTAATTACCCTATTACACTTATCCCTTATGTATTAATATGTGTGTAAGCCTTTAAGGTTTTGAACTTCAAAATAAAATCTTCAGAAATAAGACCTGTAGCATGTGATACCAAGAGGTAAGTCTCCTGAAATAAAGCCTGATTTTCTTAACCCCCTTTTACTGCTGCTCAAGCAAGCATGTGATTTGCACCAAACATTAATTCAAATGAACTGAAATGTCAAGCTGCACTACATACCCAGCCAGGCTGAGAAGTTCAGCGTGAAGAGGTTAATGCATCTATGTGGTGAATTATACCTTGGCAGCACTAATTTTACAAAGCAGTGCTGATGAGGACACTATATAAATGTCCCACAATAAAAATGGCATTGGGTTTCAGAAACCAAATACTCACAAACCTCTGAATCAAACTGGAATTAATTGCACCACAAAGCAGATGGATATCTTCAGTTAAAGACTAATTATTTACCTGTCCTTTCAATGTTGGTAGCTGGCTGGCTGGCAGCCAGTATTGTCTATGGCAGCATGGTACCTGAAAGCTCTTCAAACTATTTTTAATTTCAGAACTGTAAAGAACACTCTCATGTCTGGGAAAAAAAAATGGGGATATTCACTGCTTGCACCAAGTGAAAGCTATGCTACTTTTATTACAACAGTGCTGCATGATCTCTGCTCTTACTTTAAGACATCAATAGTTATTTATGCAGAGACAGCAGCTATTTTTAATAGACCTCTAAGTGTCATGACTCCAGCAGGCAGCTTGCTTGGTTAAGGGCAGTTTTGCCCATGATGAAACAGTGAATTATGGGCAGTATGTCTGTCCCAGTAGGATTACAAAGCCAAACTCCTCCCTAGCAAGACTCCAGGGAAGAGTTCAGCTTACAGCGTCTAAAACTGTTGAGGACACAAGTTAAAGTGGCTGCAAAGTGCAGGGCAAGCTACTCCAGGAGCACTAATCACTGAGCAACCTTTGCTCCAACTCTGCTACTGACACAGTGAGGGCACAACTGAGGACAGAAAAGTGTGCGAGGATCAAGGATTTGCTGTCCAGCCTCAGGCTCCTCCAGCCTGACTACATCTACAGGAGGATTTGGCTCAGCTTGCAGAGGAGTCTTCTGATTTGGTTTCCCTTAGAGGGAAGGTAACTAAAAGCTCCATCACTAGCGTGCTCCCATGGGGACATCATTCTCCTTAGTCCTGGCTGCCCTGGCACAACACCCTAAATCAAACAGCTGCTGTGGTGTGACCCACAGAGAGCTCTGCTCTTCCCCAGTGCTGGAGCCCTCACTCTTTTACAATCCCTTTCCCAGCTCCCAGCCCTTTTCCTTTCTGCTGTGGTATCTTCCTGAAGTGAACATCCTGCCTGGGGCCTCCAGGGAGATAATCTGGCCCACAAATCTGTGCACTACAGGAGTAGGAGCTTCCAGAGAAGCAGGACAGTTCCATGGTCACATCAGGAGCCACCAAGCTCACAGGTGCCCCAGGTACAAGAGGACTGTCAGCAAATTCACTGCACAAAAGCAACGATGAACACAGTGCTTTGGGAGTCTGGGGCAGCAACTATTTCTGCTTCCTTGGGAGGCCTTGACAAGATCTTGGAACACACAACCAAACCAGCCACTCATGTGGATTCAAGGCCTTCAGTCTGAAGTCACTGTGGGAGAGTCCAAAGGAGTGAGAGCTGCTTCCCTTTCTACTGCAGCTTGCCTCTCAGTTCCCCCAAAATATCCAAAGGTACCACTTAACAATTGTTTTCCAACTTCTCCATTTTACACGGGAGGAAGTCACCTGGAAAAGCAGCTGCCCCTCAACATGGAAACACAGAGCTCATGGTGGAAACGCTGCTCTCAGCTCTCTTCAGAGCCTGCACCCTGTCCCTCACACCAGCACCAGAGCCATTTGACAAACTACCAAGCCCAGATTCGATCTGCCCCTTTATATTTTGGCTCTCGTGTTGCAAATTTTAGCACAGCTCCTAAGACTATTTTTTTCTAAACCTAATGCATGCCAAACATCTTCAGCACGAACATGATTCCTGCTGGGGCTTTGGCTGATGCTTATTTTTAAAAATAGAGAAGTAGGTACAAGTTGATCAGAGATGAAACTGTACTTTAAACCTGCTGAAAAAGCCAAGCTGGGCCAGAAGCTGATTCTACCCATAAGTGACTATCTGAGCAAGCAAGCAAAAAAATTATTAATAAACTATTTGAAGATACTTTGGATTTAAGTTTCCCTACAGGTGTATTCCTCTGCTGCTATGTTTTGAAACTTATATAAACACAGAGAGTTTTGAGGTCATGCCTGTTCGGAGATCACATTATGCAATATGATTTAAAACTTGAAAAATAAAGAGAAATGAGAATAAGAAGCTTATGACTGATGAAATTCAGGCATCTGGCAAAACAGTCTCCTCAGAGACTGCAGAAAAAACTGTTGTAACAGAGATGACCTGGGAAACCTAGAATACAGGACAACGTTCACCACCTCTGTCAGATTTATTACTGAGGTCAAAACCTTACATTGCCATCAGACTGAAGAGAGATGTGTTATAGCTTCATAAAGTTTACTGCAAATGCTAACAGCTGGGGAAGAGACAACCACAAAGGTGATGATTTGTTGCTGTTTCCACTGTAAATCCCTGCTATCAGGGCATCTGCAGTGACTTGTTTGTGTTCTCCTGCCACACTCAGAGAATCCAGCCAAGAAGGAAATAAGGAAATAAGTTTGCTTCCAAAGAAGAAGCTGTGCTGGCTTTTAAAGCTCCCTGTATGGTCTAGGATAAATCTCTTCTATCACCTGTCTCCAGCACTCCCAGACTTACTAGTCTGTCTCAAGATAGGTGAGAACACTGGTCAAAAAACTGACATCCTGAGCAATTTTCTTTTCTTATCTAACACTCCCCTGTGGGCTCCCATAAAATCTCAGGACTGAGCTCTGGTATGCCACTGAAAGCTGCCTGAAGACACCACGAAGAGGGGGTACTTACTCCCAAAACTCTGTGACAGGAGAGGTGAAGTTAGTGGCATTCAGTGATATCCAGAGTGTTTTGTTCTTCCTGAGAGTGTCTTCCACACAGGTGGGCGTGTTCCACTTCTGGTGGCAGTGTGCCCATGGCAGGACGCTCTGGAACGACTGGAACAGGTAGTAGAGTCCCCAGGCCAGGATCACGATGTAGTACACATTCAGAAGGGACACAATCACTATGGAAGCATAACCAATTCCTGGAAAGAAGGGGAGAGAAAAGAAAAACGTGCAGATGTGACAGCTGCTGCAACTTGTGATCTCCTGGGGCTGGTGCCATTCCCACTGTGCTGTGGGCTTGTATCCTGCCCTCCCCTACTGCTGATGGAAACTCAGCTCAACCACACATCAGCACAGACCTGCCACCATCTCTGGCACTCAGGGCTGAGTTTCTGGCTATGGTTTGCTGACACTGAGGGGAGGACTGCAGGAATCTACTCAATTTAACACTAACCCAGTTATTTCAAGTTTTAGTAGAGGGAAGGCAAGGCATCAGGCTTTGCTTGTCTGCTGCATCATCTCACTTCTCAGGTTGCCTGTGTGGGCAAACTCATTCTTGCCACACTGTCTCCCAAGCCAGCTTCTCAGCTGGACAGCACCTGCACCACTCAGTTATCAACTGGCTGGGCTCAGTCTACGTGGGGGAAAAAAAAAGACATTTCTTGAATGAGCTAAAAAGGAATCTGTGTGAAAGTAGTGGTTTCTGCCTCAATTTCACTTGTGCAAAGGAAGCATGGTATTTGTGGATCTTATGGTTACCTGGATCAATCTCTGCTTACATAGTTTGCCAGTTATGAACCACAAGCAAAATAAAAGTACTTCCTTTAAAAATTTAAACCTGTCTCTTACAAGAACCTGTGAAGCTCCCTTTAACATCACTCTGATGAATATTCCAGCACTTGGGGTACCTGCCTCATATTTTTTAGTTTTAAACTTTGCTGCAGCAGGAGTCTTTATCACCAGAGATTATTTTCATGTCAGATGGTAACAAGCTGAGCAAGTGCTATTTATTCTGTACATCTGCATTTCTTTCAGCACATACAGCTAGTCACATTAGCTACACTTTCTCTTTATGGATTCCTGGGAGATTGCTATTTAAACAAGGAACATTCCTTCTTCCTCCTCCTCCTCCTCCTCAAAAAAAAAAAAAAAAGGTTTTCACAAAAGTGGGAGGAGGAGGAAGAAAATTAAGCTAAAGCAGCAGAATTACATCACCTTCAGCAGCATTTTGAGCACTAGGTGGGAGGGTGAGCCTCAGAGAAAACCCCCACTTCTGCTTGGGGTGATATCAGGGGAGAGAGATGCCTGGAGCAGCAACAGTGGCAGAGCTAGAGACATGCCAGTGTGAAGTGCCCACTCTTTCCAAACGGGATATGAACAGGACCACACGTTTAGTGCAGTTATTTCAAATGATTCTGCCTGTGCTGTCCAGCTGTAAAGGGCAATCTGAACACAAGACAGGCATCCTCTGTCATTTTTCTAACCTTTCATTTTTCTTTCTAGTTAAATTCCAGAGCAGCCTTCACACTGTTCCTGTGAGCACTGAGCAGGAAAAGGTAATATCAGACCAACATTTGCCAAGACTTGCTCAGTTATGACCAAAGCCCTGCTCCTGAATCCCACCAGAAAATGCTGTCCAGGTTTTGACTGCATCTGTAGCAGACAGATGATGCCAATGATAAACTTTCACATAGAAGATGGATTTTGATTTCCAGACCAAAATAACATTTCAAAGATGGTTTCATTAATGCCATCTGGCCTTTCAAGACAACACTTTCTCTGATACCTTTAAACAAAATGTGCAATTGCCTTAAAAGGCATAATATGCAATTTCATTATTGGTTATTGGCAGTTTTGCCAGTTAACAAGCTGATAGCATCAAAGTCAATAACTCACTTGAGACTCTCTGACTTCTACCTTTCCAGGATCCAATATCATACCCTGAATTACTAGAGCAAATAGCTGAGTTAATGGACATGAGGGGCTGCTACATATGGTTTACAGAGGGGTCTTTAAGCAGTAAAGCACAACAAGGTGTACTAACCAGTGAAAATAGGGCAGATCTTTTCCCAGCATGTAATTCCACCTTCGGAGGTATACTGTCCTAGCACCACCTCCAGGAAAAACACGGGAAGACCTCCCCCAAACAGGAAAATGAAATAAGGTATAAGAAATGCACCTGTTGAGAAAATACAATAGTAAATAATGAGATTAAATGACAGAACTTACACAAGGTCATCAAAAAGGTGACAACAGGCACATATAAACAAAGAAAGATATCTAATACTTTAATATCACTGTGCAATAATCTTATTCTGGGGTATTTTTGCTCATTTTTTCTGCAAGAAGGATGAGTATAGGCTGGAAAGGGCATTTTCTTACCTCTTTAAAGTGAATACCTCCAATAACAATGGCAGATTGTTAGGCACACAATACTTTCATATGGCTCAGACTGATCTTATTCTGAAATCCCCTGGTCTGAAATCTTAATGGTCTATATTAATAGCATATCTTCTAGTTAAAACTCAGACTTGTAGCAGAAGTAAAAGAGCAAGAAAGGTTCAACAGCACAACACTAGAAATTGCTGGATTTTTTTTTCCCTAATAAAGTTTTAATAAAAACTATTCAGTGATGAAACAACCTCTCCTGAAGAGTGAGGTGAGGGTGAGGGAGGAAGGCAGAAAACACACGTATGGACAGTCCTCTTTAAAAACGGGATGAAGGCACTGAGAAACAGCGAGCACGGGGCAGACAGACGGGTTCCTGAGCGTGGGACGAAAACTCACCTCCGCCGTTTTTGTAGCAGAGATACGGGAACCGCCAGACGTTGCCCAAACCGATGAATCCCCCCGCCACGGACAGCAGGAAGTCGATCTTGCTCGCCCACTTCTCCCGCTGCGGTGGCTTTCCCTCAGCCTCATCCTCAGGCCGTGTCCCCGGGCTCTTGCCGGGGGAAGGTTTGAGGATGTCCTTGTGGAAATCTTTCAAGCACTGAAGCTTTTCCTTTGTTGCCATATTTCTGCTTTCTACACAGAAAAAGAACAACAAAAAAAGAGAGGGGTTTATTAAGCAGTCTTTTCCAGCAGAGCTCTCTAACACTGCAAAAACTGTTTAGCCAAACTTGTTCTATACAAAACAGTGTTGTTTATTAAGCTGAGATAGGAAAATACTTCTGATGACTTCACTGACCAGCAGAGGCAAAGTCCCCCTGAGTGTGTGGTCACCTCTCTGCAGCCAGAGCAGTGCAGAGCACCGTGAAGCTCTGGCACTGCTCGCTGCTGACCTGCTGCCCGCAGGGAAGGGCTGCCCCAGCTGCGCTCCCCGTGCCGGCTCCTGCACGTGGTGCTCCTGGGCAAGTGTCTAACGCTGCTTCCATGCCCAAAATAAAGTACAAATCACTGCATCTGGTTCCTTCTAAAGCATTTATGTGAAATACAGAATAGTAAATCTCACCTTTCCAGATAAAACCCATTCTTCTACTTCCCAATAACTTGAGCGATCCTGTATTATTTATTGCCTGCAATTTCCATTCCCTGAAGTACTATAAACCTCTCAGAAAACTATACATTCATAAAAACTGCAATGGAAAGTCGTTTGTTCTAATCAGCCTGCAGGAACTGAAGGAATCTTTTCAGTTTATTCCATTTTCATAACTGCACTGTTTTCCCTTGACATCAATAAAGGGACAAAAATAAGCCTTTATATTCAATTATCGTGAAATGCACACCTATGCAATGGAACAGTTTGCTGAGAATGATGGCTCCTTAGTTAATTAAAAAGTCAGTGGCATGAGTCATATTAAATCATAGCTGGTTTAATAATTTATATATATAACTTATTATCAAAATCACAGACATTCAAAAACAATAACAGAAAGAATTATTCTAACAAGTGCCTTTTTAACTAAGGTTTTCTAATGAAAACAATTTAGGAGTAACTTGTAGCTTTCATGTTACCTGAGATGTCAGGCATATGCGGCCAATTAATTCCCCACATAACTCAAGTGACTTCAGCTGGCTCTGACCAGTTATTATTGCATAGTGTGTTGATACTGAAATTTTCACCAGAACCAGGCAAACCAGCAAGTTTGTTCCAGATCACAACCACTGGCCGCTTATACATGTCATTATGAGTGCAGCCATAAAAAAACCATGCTGCAGATTATCCTTTTTGATAGCTGCCAGCCTCCCCCGTACCTGCACACTGGTTTTGGTCTCTAACCCGACTGAGCTCGTGGCAGTGACCCGAAGACTGAGCTGGCATTAGCTCTGCAGGAAGTTTTTAATCTGAACATGATTTTGAGATAGATATGCATCACTGTACCTGCAATGCTTCCCATTCACCACGGAAAGGTTCAGAGGGCTAACACTGCCACAAACCACAGCAGCTCCACACTCGCCCCACTGGCACACCGGTGGCCTTCCAAAGCAGGCACTGTGACAGCAGCTGCCTATCAGGCCACGATCTAAGGAGGGACTTTAATCTCCACGACGTTAATCATTATGACTTTCTATTGCTTTTTAAACCAGGCCACTGGTGAGCGCGCAGGGTGCACGAGCACTGCAATACCTCGTGACCAACAGCAGAGAGAGCTCACAGAAGGAGAAAGTGGAGCGCAGGGTGATGGACCATCACCGCTGCACGGGGATGGAGGCAGGATGTATTCCACCAAAATAGCTCCTGCTGGTCACTGTTAGAGACACGGCGTGAGATAAAGCAGTAACAGAATAAAAATGGTAGGGCCAGCTCTGTCTAAGTCTTTAGGCATTTAGCTGCTTTTGGGCTGAATTCACAGCAGCTAACTTGAGTTGAGTATCATGAATGGAGATTAATGGAGGTGCCTCTAAAAGGGATTCACAGCAGCCTTAACCTTCCTGAGACATCTGCATCTCACAACAAGCCCCAAACAGGCACCATCCTGCATAAACTCCAGGAGTCCTCTCTTGAGGGAAAAAAATAAAAAAAAAAAAAAGTGGACATAACTGCTTTTCTTCAAAGAGGTGGTTGATGTCCTGCTCTTTCTGCAACACCTACCAGGTATGGAGAAAGCTCGTTTTTGCTTTCTTTTGCTATTTGTGCTCCTTGAATCCCTATCTTTCATCTTGCTGGAGCATGTCATAACCATCAGGCAACAGGCTATTCTGGGCTGAGGAATGGAGGGCATTTGGATTGTCTCATGGAAGCTGTTCTTCACAGGGGTTATTGAAACACTCATCAACAGAGGGGGAAAGCGTGCAAAAGAAGAGGCTCACACCTAGTGTTCAGGGTATGCTCTTATTTTCCACACAGTTTTTTGGTGAACCGGTGGGACAGCCATAAACCTGCTTAAGAGGGCACAGAGATATATAGATTTAAAGATCCCTGCAGGATTAGGTTTGAAATAGGAGCTTAACTGCTCCCCGTGGAGACTGATACTGGAAATACCCGAAAACAGACCGCTGGGAACACAGGCTCCCCTTATGTATGAAAACCTAAGGAGACCTGCAGCATTAGCCACCTCTAAGATTAAAAACTCTTCAGGACTGCAATTTTTTGCAATCCACTTTTATCTGGTGACACAGAGTTCTTTATTTTCTGCCAGCTCTAATCCTCTTGCCTGCGGATTTACTTTGACCCAGGTGTTAGTCAGTTCTACCCAGAGTTTGGAAGGCTGACCAGTTGATTGCATTCTGTAAACCCTGACTCTTCCTCGGACAAGATGATCACCCTATGGTTTGGCCCAATTAGCAGCACACAAAATGTGAAACGGTGCCTTTTCAGATGCTTTCTTTGTAACTGAGTGGAACTGCATTATAAAAAGGGATTTCTAATTTGTCTCAAGATACCCCAAATTAATGGCTGTGCTTAAAAACTTAATTAGTAAGTGAAAATTATGCTTCAGCCTTAGCTGCAATGTGGTGACAGACCGTGATCTCTCCCTTAGTCCATGAACACTCAAGGTCATGCTTGCTTTTGGGGTCGTTTCACTGTATGGGTGCCAGGAGATGAGCCACCAAAACTTTGGTGCCAGTCACCAGCTCTCCATAGTGGGGCACACTACCTATCCAAGGCTTGCACAAAATTAGTAACAGCCCAGCTTTAGTGTGTACAGACTTGCTAAAATCCCAATTGTGTCTGGAGGACCGGCAGCTGTGGCTGGCAGGCACGTACTGTCCACCAGTACCACAGGAACTGCCACTAAGCGGCCACCTGGGACTGTGGTCCCAGCCCGTGTCACGTTCAAGGGATGTCGGATTTATCCCCCTTTGCTGCCAACCATTGGTGTCCACCCAGCCATTCCCAATTACAGGAACTGTCTACAAAGGCTGCAAGGGTGGGGGGTACAGGCGATTCTCCCTGGTGAAGAAAAGCCAAGAAAAGTAAGTTTGTTTAGCGAAAGGCATTGTCTTTTTCCTTAATGGGGTTGGAGTTTCATTTCCTTTAGCTATGTCCCACTGGGTGAGGCTAAAATGGCTCTTAAGGGAAATAGTCTGACAGAGATGCTGAAACAATATGTTGTCACCGCCCAGGTCAGAAGCAGAGAATAATAGGTTATTTTTACTGTATCACTTAGTGGGGATGGTATCCGAGATCTAAGTCCATCAGATTCCCCCAAGGAAATATATTGTGAAAAAAATGCTCTTACAACCACATAGTCCAAAAGGAGCAATCCAGGTCTGAGGCATATGTCTGCCTCCCAGAGACACACGTCTGCCTTCCAGGAGCCACATCTGACTGTGAGAGTACCCCCTCCAGGAAGTTTCAGATGGCCCCAGGAAGCTTTGGCTTCATCTGATGAACTCAATATGGATAAATAAAAAGCAGCAGTCAAGCCTGCTATTTATGGTGTGCCCCTAGGCTGAGCCCAGTCACACTGCAAGAGCCTGATCCGACAGCAAGGGGAGAAAAAATCCAGACTGGGCCACGCTTGCTCCCACATACACTGGTACATACCCTCATTAACTGAAGATGGAGTAATCAATTATCAAATCAATGCTGGTAAAATATGGAAAAACAGAACAAGGGATCAAGCACAGGCACTTTGCACTTCTCAAGTATCTGCTCACTGCTGCAGCCAGGAGGCCCTTCCACAGGAGAATCAGGTGTCTGTTCCCTGCACAAATTTCATCAGGTGAAATACCCTGCAATAACCCAGGCTCTCTTGCTGTCCCCCATGACTGATCAGCCTTTGATGCACAGGTGAAAATACCCCCATAAGAGGAGTGCTTTCACAGCCAGCTTGGCTTGGGACATCCCCTGGGCTACAGCTATCAGATATTCACATGTAGAGTCTGCACCTCAGATAACCCATACCCTTTAAAAAAATACTGGCAGTGAAATGTAATCCCTCATAACTTGCAAAAAAAAAAAAAAAAAAAAAAAAAAAAGGGTAGAGGAAGAGGAAGGCGCTGCACAGAGGGGCAGATGGTGAGTGATGCCCATGAGGGAAGGCCACCAGCACAGCCAGGACCTGCTGGTTGTCAGTACAGACACAACTCTCAATACTGCTGGACCACTGACATTTTTGTCAGACAACCCATGGATTACACATCTGAAAATACACTGTGTTCAGTTTTTGCTTTGGGATTACAGTAATGATCCTCTCCAAGCTTCTTACAGCTGAAGACAAGCGACCAATGCACAGCAGCACCTTCCAAGAGGAGTCTGGAGGACAAGCACACCACGGATGCCACCTCATTTAATAGTCACTAAAAATCAAGTCTTTCAAACAGTATTTATCCAAATGCTGATGGAAATAGGAAAATCAAAGTCTTCCTGAATACACAGATATGTGTTTGTAAACATTTACACATGCTAAAATGCATGCCCTGTCTTGCATCTGAACACCAGCAACCACAGCAAAGCAGATACTTACTTTTTGGCCAATGCATATAAACTTTAATTAAAGATTCAGCATACCGAATTGTTGACTAGAGTGTAACTGAATGTGTTTTTTTCTAGCTTCTTTTTCTGTTGGAAAACTAAAAGCAAAGTACACATTCAGAGTGTTTTTCACCTTGATGGGAATGTTGCTTGAAGAATGACTGTATGGCTGTACCACTGATTTTATGGACTATTTTTGCAATATCATGTGTATCATCATTACTTCTGCTTTCAAGGATCCTTCTCTAGTAAGTTCAGCCTGTGCAGAATGTGTATCTTGAGCTTCTCAGTGCTCTCTCATCCTCTTCTGCCTCAATGACTTTTGAAAGACATCAGTTTACCACATTATAAATAATTCTTCTAACCCTGTTTAAGCTCACTGCTTATTTGGACTTATTGCCATCGCTCTTATTTTCTGTCATTTATTTTGTATTCTGCAAATTGAAGTCAACATTCCCTTAAAAACTGAGTTTCCTAGAACTGCCAATCTATTTGTGGGTTGGCTCTTTTAAGAAATTATTATTATTTTACATTCACATTCATGAATATTTCAAAATTAGATGCCCCGATTTCTGGATCAGAGCTGGTCTTCAAATAAGCAGCTTCCACTTTCCATTGAGAGCAATGGAAAAACTGCTATTGATTTCAACAGTAGTAGGATCAGGTCCCAAATAAAACTGCATTTATTATGTTTGGCTCATTTCCTAGGATTACTTGGAACTTTGAAAGCTGTAATTCTTGATGTTGACAGCTCTCCCTCCCTCCCGGGGCAGTGTGGTTAAGCCAATCGATACATGATTAAAATAAACAGCCCCTTGATCAAACTCATGGCTTCAGTGCAAGTCTTTCTGATCTAGAGGAAAAAAAAAAGCCTTTATGTCTGCCAGCCCTCAATGCCCTACCAGTACCCAAGGAGCACCTGACTTCACTTATTGTCCCTAATTCATATCCAAGATCATTCTGCTTCATTGAACAAGATACCTACAATTTCTGAAAAATAATACCACTCTCTTTACTGCCCACATTGCCTCTCTTCCTCTTAAAAAGTGCCTCTAAAAATTCCCTGAACTACAGCTCACTGTTCTGTCTTTAATGGACTCCTCTTTTTCTGTATACTTTTCCCTGGGTTTGGGTTGTTATTTAAACCCTAGAATCCATTTGTCCTTTCTTCTTAGTTTTTTGCTCCAGCTTTCTCCATCTCCCTTCTCACTTCTTCATAATTTCCTTTTCTTTCACTGTGATGCTTTTTTTAGTCTCCTAAGACTGACTGGAAAATCTGCTACTGAAAATTTTCTAGGAGGAAAATGAACTTCTTCATAAAGCTGAAGCCTACTCTGAAAGAAAAGCCCAGGGCTTAATGCAATTTCTTTTTCATCAGTTGTGGTCTGGACAAAAGGTATCTTTTTTCCCTACATGCCTTTTTTCTTGCTGCTGTTTCCATTCATGTTCTTCAAATGCTTCAAATAGGCACCATGTCACAGCACTGAGCTGTTATAAAATCCTGCATCTTTGCTCAGATTTCAGCAGCAGAAAATCTGCAGTCACATAATATCCTAGATGCTCATTTTGTTCTACTTATTTATGTCAAAGAACAAAGCAGTTACAACTAAACCTGGAACAGGAGGAAATGAAAAACTCCTTTTCCGTTGTGTGGGGTGGAAAGGAGGAAAATGAATACCCACAAATTCCAATGGATTTCAGAGGGAGCATGACCCTGACTCTAAACAGGGGTGAGGCAAAGATGATGCCCCCATGCCTCATCTGGAGCCTGATTCCCCAGGAGATGGCACAGGGCAGTCGTGGCAGTCAGTAGGGAGGAGCATGGGATGCAAGACACATAACACTGGTTATGACTGGTTATGACTCTGTCTACTGAAACCCTCTGTGGGATTTCACAGTGTCTCCTGTATCCCAAGTGTCCTGCCTGGAGAGCCATGGTGCTCCTGCTCTGTCCCCTCCTCAGAGAAGCAGGCACAGGGGTTACTCTGGCAAAGACAACCAAGGGGAAGGAGCGAGGGGTTGGCAGAAGCAGAGAGACTCAGGGGAAACTGCTGGTAACTCTGTGCAGGAGAACAACCAGTTAAAACTAGTTTTGCTCACGTGAAGCCAACTGCTGGCCCAGTTTAATGCCTCTGGGTGTGCCAGCTCACAGCCTCTTGACTGTCAACAGGCTGGAAAGAAACACCAGCTTCCCACTGCCATCCCTGCCTGCTCCCTCTGCTCTACCAGCTCACCCACTGTGGAAGTGGAAAACCATTACTTCACTGGGTGACACCACCTCTTTGTCCTTGAGAGGACCCTTAACAAAACGCATTCTGTCCATGTGGTGTAGCAAGCTGATGGCTTTCCAAGCAAGATGGGCATTGTTGAAGAAGATTCAACAAGCTGTGCACATCCTCAACTCTTCTGTTTCCTTGTACCCTGAAGTTATACACTTTCTGACCAAGGGAATAAGCATTGTTGTGTTTTGCTATCAATTCTGAAGGTCTGCATCTGAATGGATTGAAATTCTCTATCAAACCCTGGCGTCAATTAACTAATTCCTATTGCCACAAATAAACCACCAAATTGATCAGAATCAATTAAGGGATGTCCTTCATCCTGCTATAAAAAAAGGCAAACCCCCTAAAGCTCACAAAGCTTATGAACTCAAACAGTCAGTGGTGTGCACTGTGCCTATTGAATTTTTTGCATGTGATTAATAGTGTATTGATCCTACGTGACACTTCTGCAAGGCACTTGCAACACATGATAATGTCAGACAGCAATTTCCATGCTACAGTAATGGAGCACTGCCCCTGTGCAGGGAAGATAAACAATAAAGTAGTAATTTAGTGAGGCAAATGTGCAATAAAACATATGAATTCATTATATCAAAGTAGTTTTTCCTTGGGGAGAAATCATTTCACCCTCACCTATTTTTTCTTTCATGCTAATTCTAAATCTAGCCTTAAATTAACTGAGTTTACCAATGCTAATGTTCAGGGCTTTCTCACAATTGAGGAGCAATGTACTTTTTCATTATGTTTTCTAACTAAGTAAAAAATAGATGGATGTGTAAGATTACCCATTTTTGGAAAAACAATAGAGTCTTCTATACCCAGCAATGGCTTTGATCAGCTGTTGCCATACCTGCCTAGGCCACCTCCACACAAAGCCAGAACTGTGTTTTTACTGCCTCTATCCATTCATCTTAAACAATAACTGAGGACAGATTTTTATCCCACCTGTGGCAGCTGTACAAACATGTCATACAGTACCTTATTCCCAGAAATCTAGATCCCCACACCATCAGTGGAAGGGAGCAATCCTTTCTTCTTCTTTGTTCCCGTGCCCCATCTGCCCAACACCTGATTTTTTAATTTTTTTTTTCTAGAGTACATTAATGGAAGGAAGAGTTGTGCAACACGGCAGTGTGGGTGGAAAGCAGCCAGCCAACCTGCACCAGGAAAACAGCTATTACACGCACGCGATCCGCAATGTTAGTCCCATTACAGGGCTATAAAATCTGAGCAGGTTACAAAGCCCTGAGGGCTGGGCCATGAGCACTAAAACTTAATGGCGAGAGTGAGCTACTTTTGATTTTAGCCTTGACTTTTCCTCCATGCTGGCAGTAAATATCAGCAAAAATACAACTCAGTGACAGAAATGAGCTGTAATCTTTAAGAAGTGGAGCATCAACCTTTTGCTGATGAACCAGGGTACTCAGGTGACTGGGGTGCTCTGCCAGGGCACCTCTTCTCACAGGCCTTCAGCCACAGAAATTTCCTAAGCACCTTGAGGTTTAATTTACTGTTGTTGTTTTCTTTCCTTCAAGCAAAAACAAGAAAAAAAAAAAAAAAAAAAAGGGGAACAAAAACTTTAGGCACACGAAGTTTCACACAGGAAATGAAATTGAAACCCCTGACACGGCAGCGCAGCAGTGCGGGCGGGTCTGCAGGAGACGTGCAAAAAGAAGAAGTGGCAAAGCTGATGAACAAGCTCAGGGAGAGCACAACTTTGCAAAACAGATTGGTGAAACGTAGACTTTCACACACACAAAAAAATGAAGCTCTGTAGACACTATGATATTTATTTGCTCTCCTGCAGCTGGTGCCAGGTGCTGGCTTGCACGGCTGGACAATGGCATGTTTTGTTTAATCCCAGAACAGCCTTGGCTCTGTCTCCAGCTGCAGCCCCGTCCTCTCAATTTCCCTGGCTGCCCAGAGCCGCTCACTGTGCTTCTGGAGGGCATTTGAGAAGGAATACCACTATGTCCTACAGGCCTTGCAATGGGCATTATTTGATCTAAATAAATAAATAAAGTTCTGAGTTGCAAATAGAACATTTGGTACTGACTACTAAACCACTGTGCTTTTAAATACCGTGTGATTCACACTGATTCCCAACCAGAGGTGTATTTTCAGTTCAGTTTTGCTATGGGTCTCTGACATTTGCTTTCACAGACCGAGAGCTGTGCTCATTTTTATGTCAAGAGATATGAAAACCAAACAGTGCCTGAACAAATACTTCGCTTTTCCAAGGAAACTAACACATAAACCACTTCTGCATACCACGGTCTGCAAAGTGCACAGCACACACCAAGCAGGAACAAAACCCTGGGCTCACACACTACTTGGACAAAAGCCTCACAGAATTCACTCTCGAATTGCAGCCTCCAAAGGAAATTGTGTTAGAGCAAAGGCTGACTCCAATACAAGACACAAGTATGTGCAGTCCCACCTTCACAACAGGGTCAATCTCACAGGCTACAGGTACTTGTTTACTTGTTTTTCTGTTGGCTTTTGCAGGTAAGCTTCCCCAAATACAGCATGACAATATGTGAACAGCCTGAGTACTTTTCTTCATCTCTTTTTATCTTTTCAAACAAATGCTAGCTGATGGTTTCATTGCAGGTTGCTTTTATAGTCCTGGCCCGACTACTATAAACTGAACTTACTCCTGTTAGCAGCTGAGGATTTTTCTTCCTGCAGTTTCATCTTTGTGAACACACTTAAATAGGATACCAATGTGGCACATTAGTATCTAAAGCTGTCTTCATCATGACTACAATTATTTTTCACTACTTGGCTTTCTTATGCAAAAGTTAATAATGGACAAGTGGGAAATTGTTTGCAGTTCCACTTTAAACAACAGGCACCTGACAAGCAGCTGAGATAGCAACAAAACCACTTCACATGCAAACCAATGGCAGAAAGTGAGAGACTTCCTTTGGTTGACTTGTCTGAATTTTTGGAGGTGACCTTAACAAGAGCTACATGAACTTGTGGTAGCTTTACAGGAGAAATCACCAAGGTGATTCAAAGTCAGATGTGCTGCTTGAAGTTCCACATTTGGATACTATCTGTCCATGAAATTTGACTTATAACCTACTGCTTGTGTACTGCACAAAGAGCAGTGGAGAAGGGAACTTCAACCCTACTGAGCAACAGTATCTTCCATTACTATATTCCCTCTACCAGGCACAAACCCTTTTCACACTTGAAAGAACAGTACCCTGCATCGTTTAAGCAGGATGTGTATGAGGTGAGAGTATTTATGTGGTTACAGAAAAGAGAGGGCAGCAATGAAAGCAAATCTATCCTGTTAAATCTTGATTTTAGAATCCTGCATTGTATAAAAGGGGACAACAAAAGCTTTTGGTTGCTCATATTTAGTCCTTCTTCAATCCACTGTGGTAGCCCCATTTGTAAACTTTACTTTTGGTAGAACCTGATGGGAAACCAGGTGTTTACATAAACAGTATACTTCTTGTTGATAAAGTAGAGAGATGGAGAGAAAGCACCTTATCTTGTCAGACTTGAAAGAGAAACCCCATGAAATATTCCTATTTCTTTTTCCCACCAAGGGAGTTTTTGAAGGGTTTTTTTGCCTTAGAATAGCTACATCATTGCCCAAAATCCCCTAGGCCGACATGGTGAATCTGAGTGTGATCTTGCTTTCTCCCAGCACAATTAAAATAACATTGTTCTGACAAAGGGCGTTTTTTTGACTAACATATGGGCTGACCATGAAAATTTGCTACCCGATGGAGCTCGCAGATGCCCCTGTGCACGTCCCAGCTTTCTGGCAGACAGCTGCAGGGCTGGGAGGGCCCTGAGCTGAGCAGCAGATGCTCTGTGCAGCATTAACTCCCTCACGTGGTTACAGCCACATGAGGAAACCAGCACGTAACGGCCCAGCCAGGGCACTTGGTGGCTCACTAAATCCTAAATACCCCAAAGCTCTCCTCAAGGCTGCTAGAGAACGAGATTTGTCACTGAAAAGGAAAAAAAAAAGGTGATATCTACTTTTAAATACTTATTATCCTGATATAATTATGCTTTAAACTCTTTAATTGATAACTTCAGTTGGAACTTACTGAAGATTTGAAGGTAATTCAAGTGAAATCCTGCTACAAATTCCAAATAATTTCAGAGATACCAAATTTCACCTACTAATCTCATCTGAGGTCACCATTTACATCTTGATACTGTTCCCATGCAAGCAAAACCTCTGTGTCCTCACTGACCTTCAGGATGTGGCTCCTGTTCCGTGCAGGTATGAATGAGAGTGACAGTGACAGGGAGTGAGGAGTTAATGTCATGCACAGCACTATGGCTGAATCAGTACAGGAAATGGGCATTAAACAGAACCATAAAGTAATTCAGGGTAGAAGGCATTTCTGGAGGTCACATTGCCCAGCCTCCTGCTCAAAGAAGGGCCAATATCAAAATCAGACTGGCTTGCCTATGGCCTTCTCTGGTCAAGCTCTGGCCATGTGTGGAGACTGTACAATCCTGTGCAACTCATCCCACTGCTTCACTCTGCTCAGGATGAACATTTATTCCACATAAACAATCTGAACGTCTCTACCTTTGTGGACAAAGAAAGAAGATGAGGAGGAAAAGGGAGAGGAGGATTAATACAGAATGACAAGATGATACCAAATGGAAGGCTCACTCTTTGTCTTCTGGTACTGCACACATACAATACAAGCAGCTGGAAAGCAAAAGATACTGAGGGGCTCTGCAGTGAGTGACAATGGGTAAGCTCCAGGTTAAGCACAGAAAAAGCAACAGTCCCTGGTGGCAGCATATCAGACAACACCCATTTTATTGTCAGAGTAAAACATATTCCTTTAAGAAAACCAAACAAAAAGCCTTACTGAGTGCTTCAATGCATGCCAAGCAATTATTGCTTTCCACAATGTGTCCTGTGACTCACTGTGCCACAATGAACTGGCATATGGTGCTCATTCAGGGTATATAACTCACACATTAGCTCTGAAGAGCTAATAGTTACTTGGACTCTAGTTAATTTTGGGGGTTTTTAATTTCCCCATGGCAATGCAATAAATGTCATGCTCATTATTGTATTATTATTATTTTTAAAAAGTGTTTTTAGTGGCAGGCAAGTGTCATTAACGCCTCAAACCTCTCGTATGCAATGAAAATCAATTCAGACAAACTCTGGCATGCGAAAGCACATAAATAATTGGTAAATACTACCTGTGGTCTTCTGGGTCCAGATCTGACTGATGCCAAGAGCAATCAAGTCCTTTTTGGCTGCAAAGGATAGGAGGGCACTCAATACCTTGCAGAAGGCACTCAGTACCTGGCAAAAATCAAGCTTTCTGTGTGCCAGCTCCCCATGAAAGAGCAAACCACAAAGCACGTGCAACAAAAAAGGTTCTCTTCTCTTGGAAGGGAAGGCAATCTCCTAGAAAGACACAGAGCCAGCTCTCTGTAGGTGTCAAATACTATTCTGGCCTGGAAAGGGGGCACTTTCTCTTATAAAAGGAAACATAAAAAGTAACAAAGCTTCTCTCTTTGAGTGAGCCTGCCCAAGAGCAGTAGACTGGAAATCCATTTTTTTATCATGAAGAAAACATCAGAGATGCTTAAAAGCAGAGACTGAGTAGTGGCAGAAGAAACTGGGTGCAGTTACAAGAAAATTCTTCTCTTGTAATCAAGATGCCCCAAATGAGCCCAGGCTGCACCATGACTTGTGAGGACAATCAAGGAAACATGGATTCAAGAGCGCTAATGGAGCTTTCCACCATACCCAGATGACTTCATGGGGGTAAGAATCCTGTAGAGGTAAGGGCCACTTAACACTTGTATACATTTGACAAAAGCACACTGAAACCAGTGCTATTCATTAGCAGAAGCGGATCAGAAAGATGGAAGTGGCTAATTCAGATTTTGCCCATGTAGGGACTCAGAGCTGCAGCAGAAGTGCAATGGGGTTGAAGGCTAGCAGGGCCGATTCCTGAAAAAGGGGGCCTGACTTCTGACATAATTTTCACAGTAAAGCAATAGCAATGCTATTGGAATCAACAAAACTATGCTGGAATAAATCAGTTGAGAATTATATCCTGAATTTGTACGTCTTTGAGCTAATTTCATAGGTATCAAACAACATTAACATCTCAAATGTGACTTGGAAGGCAAAACATAAACACTTCAGCCTAAAGCTCTACTGCTCCTGATCCCCAAGGACACAATTAATCCTTCAGTGGTTTCCTAAATAGACCAAATGCAATGATTACAAATACAAATATTTTTCCCTGTGTTTTTGCTTTACAAAACATAAATTTGGACTGTGTAATCTCAGGTGTTTTCTTTAGTATTTAACACAACAGGGATGGAAGAATATGGGCATGACTTTACTATGAATGGCAGTGGGGAATAAGGACCTACTCTGCCTATTTTGAATCTCCTGAAATATTGAGTGGGAGATGGTTGAAACTGTGCCTGAACCAAGGCTCCCAGCATCTGACCTGCACTTTTTTGTCACTGCTCCGTAGGTTCTTTGCTAATGGTCACAATATACTTCCCATCTCCTCATAAATATCTTTGATTTATTAAATTATTTGTTGCATCTCACTCAGCTACATTCTTCTAGGAATGTGTTTAAGAAAAGGCAAAAGTACATAACTATTAAGTAGAACTCAGGCCTTTTTCCAATCAAAAATCATATTCCTTTACGCAAAGATGTCAAAGTCTTCATTTCATCCAAGGAAACAAAACCAGCATTTAGGTAATAACAACCTTCTCCTCAGTGCAAAGACCCTCCTGCCAGAGAAGGAAATGCTGCCCTTGACCAAATCCCAAATGTTCATTCTCTTATTGGCTAATTCATGACAGTGTTAGCTAGATTTTCATTACAGAGCATTATTTGTAGCTGCTGTTTTCATGAAGCAGCTGTAATAAACAAGTGAGATTTATGTTCCTTTTAAAATTGCTTGAAATAATTAGCACTGTTAAATTTAGACTCTGAAAATATCTGAGTCTACTGAGTTTTCTATTTTTTAAATAAATACAGAAGCTACAAAGCAATCTACCACCACCAGTCAGGCCTGGGTCAGAATAATATGCATGCCATATAGCAGCCAAAATGTGTTTCAGATGAGGAAATAATCTAAGTTCTCCAAACAACCTTTTAAAAGTAAATGATGGTTGTGCTGAGTGAAATGTTTTAACAACTGCACTGTGTGCTATTTCTCTCCAGCCTAAATGCAGACAGGCCTTTATTTTATTCCTGTTCTGGTCTGTACAGGTACAAATGGGCACCCTGGATGTGGACCACTGGTGAGATCAATGGAAAGCGGAATCAATACCGAGACCCAGACCCAGACCAGAATTTTACAGCTGCTTCCTACCTTGATTTATGCTGCATCTAAAAGCCCTAACCCATGTCAGACACTCAGATACCAAACCCAGAGCTTGTGGTTTGCCCTCATCTCTGCACCATTTACTTTTTCCACTCATTGCCCCTCAACCACAGCTTGCTGTATTGACAGTCCAGACACTTATTTGGAATAAGCAAACACGGTGCCCTCTCCAGCCCAATTTGGCTGTGTCACAGCTGGTGCTGCACTTCAGAGCCTGATCCAACCAACCTGCTTCGTGACAGCACCCAACAAACAGCCTCTAAAAAGCTTTCCACTCATAGCTGGGGTTTTTTGGGTTGGTTGGTTGGTCAGTTCTGTGACTCATCAGCCCTACAGTATTTTTCGTGGCGCAGGTTCCACCACCTCAGTGGTCCAGGTTTCCTCAGAGCAGTGGGAAAGACAAGAGGAAATCCCAGGGGCCAGGACAGAACCCTAACAGTTCTACAAGAGAGGTCTAATGTCCAGCAGATGTTCAGCTGACTGCAACCCCAGGGAGGTGAGGAAAAGATGATCTGCTGTGGGGAAGACCACATCATGCCATGCATAAAATAGGTACAGAAACAATATTCTGAGTGTATAATGAGAAAAGGGACAAAAAGAAGACAAGAAGAAGACTAAACCTGCCAGCTCTTATGAACATTTTTAACTAGAGGAAGGAAAATCAGGGAAGATATACAAATAAGAATGATGAAGCTGGGAAAGGAGTCTGGACTAACGTGCAAAAGACAGCTGTAATATGTATCAAAATATTAAAATTTTAAGTACTTTTCTCTGCATAGGGTAAAACAGTAACAACTTCTATGTAAACTATAAAATCCCAGGGCATTAAAATAAATAATGGCATACTGTTTCAAAATATCCCTGGATAAAATAAGTGGCATGCAATAGGATGGGGATTTAGTGTTAGGAAGTATAAAGCCCAGCATCCCAGGAGAGCAGTAACATTGCCTGAGGAGCAGCTAGCAAAGCCATGAACCCAAGAATAACCCAAAGGTGACTGCAGGTAAGATTAGCCAAGTAATAGAGTTTCTCTCTGTGATGCTTCTGAGTGATGCAGAAGGGTCAAAGGCTAAGCTATTTCTGGATGTGGACAAGGGAAGGGGTAATGGAAATCTAAAGCATAATGCTATGTCAAAACAGCCACAGTGAACAAATTATGAGTTGTTCAAATCTCCACAGATTAGAAAGGAGATAGAGAAATTAAAGGAAATACAAATAAGGACAACAAAAGTGATCTAAGGAGAGAGTAAGAGAGCTAAAATTAATATGTTCTATAAAAGAGAAGACTCCTGGGCTGAGATCCAGCTATAAATACCTTCCAGGTACTGTGTGTAGAGGAAGGTAATTAATCTAGCTCAAAAGATAGTAAGACAAGAAGCAATTGCTTGAATTTAGGAATGGAAAAATTCAGAATATATAATAAGAAAAACTTGTTTGAAGAGACACATCTGCTCAACAAGGCAGAGAGCTCTAAAGCACACACTGTATGCAGTCCAGAACAGATTGTATAAGGATGGGGCTCTGGGAAATTCCGCAATCACAACTTTCTACTGTACAAAAAAGATCACCACAGTCCAACTTACTGATCTTTCAGTTGTGTTCTTTTATGGGTTATCTTCAAACCAGCTTCCCTATTTAAAAAAAAAAAACAAAAAACCCAAAACAGCACTCAACCTGTACATCCAGGTAGTGACAATGCATCTACACCAGAGCTCAGAGCTCGGGGTGTGCAGCACTCCAAGGTGCATGGCAAACCTCTCTGCCTCTCTTCTGCCTATGCAGGGGTGTGGACAATGTGAGTCTGTTGGGTGCTGGGCATGAGAGTGTCAGCAAGAACAAAAACACTGACCCAGATGTCAGATTATGCTGAGTACCTCAACACTGAGGTCAAAGGCCAAAGTGGGGACTACCTCTTGTGATACTTGTGGTCTTTCCTCAGCCTTGTGTTAAGACATGCTGCACAGAAGCTTTCAATGTCACTGTATAAATTATGTACTTTGATTTATATTTAAATGAAAACCAATGCTAGCAGTGTTCAACAACTCTCAGGAGCTCTAAATAGAAAATAAAGAAGAATACAAAATAAAATCCCCAAAACATTTGCAACAGACCTTACCATTTTCAATGACAAACGGGTACACACAAATGTGAGGAATATAAAACCCAAGTACCCTTAATACCCTCCCTTAAACAAATCCCATCCCAACTGCACTCACCAATCGGGACTTCTGTCCCCTCCTCAATGTAGATGGGCAGTGGTGATTCCTCCATAGGATGAGGCACTGATGGAAAGTAATGAATTGTGGTAGTATTTGTCGCAAAGTGACTAAAATAAGATGGTCCCTTTCTTATCATTACAACTACGTATGGCTGGTTACTATCACAAAGAGCCCCTTCTCAAAGTGGTCACCTCCTGTCAGAGACCGGCCCAAGCCAGGGCCTGAGGGGTTAATCCCCACCGAGCACTCACTGCCACAGGAGTCAACTCTCTGAACAGGACCTGGGAGAGATCCCTGTCCTGGATGCTTCACCATCCTGCCATTTCACTATAACCTCAATACTCCCATCCCTGGAGTTTAACTCTCTTTTGGAAATTCCCACCGTTGTAGAAGCCAAGGGAAGCCAATGCACAGACAGGCACAAACAGAGTTATCGAGTCAAAGTTGTAATATTTCATGCACAGAACCAGAGGAGAGAGGCTCTGGTGCTCAAAGCTTGCCGTCAGCCATTGAAAAGCCACAGCATGTGATGGAAGGCTGCACTGCAAATGGCCTCTGGACCACTGACTTTTCATTACTCATTTTAGAGTGTATGTATTGGACTTAGGAATTTTATCTGGGATACTGCAATCTCCAAGCAAAACTCCCCAGATTTGCACTGCGTGGTTATTCTGCAGTTTCCAGACACCATACAGTCACTGCTGTAGGGTTCATCTCTTTGGGTTCTTCTCTGTTTGGGAGCTTCTTCCCTTAAAGGGGTTTTTGCTTCACCATTTCCCCTTTATAATCTATGGGAAGCACATGCATCACAGGATTTTCAAGAGATTTGAACTTCCCATTCTAGAATGAAATCATAATGAGCTACCAATGTTGAAAATGTTCGTACTCAAAAACCTTCTGGATTTTTTTCTTCTCTGTTACCTTTTAAAAATGATGATGTACCTTCTTAACCTAGTCCCATCTAGGATTCCCAGCAGCAGGAAAGAAGGATTCTTTAATCCTTTGTGAGGTATCCTTCACTTAGTACTGGATTTCTTTGGTTTGGGTTGTTTTTTTTTGAAAGATTGTCTTATCCATAAAACCAGCCAAAGAACACTTGTGGTTTAAAGCTATTAAATAAAGCATCTAGCAATGTTTCTGCTAGCAACACAACCAGAATAAAGAGTGTTTTCAACAGATGCTTGACTAGCAACAGGCATAATAAGAACCCCAGGCTGGTGTTTTGCAGGATGCAAAGGGCTGCCAGCTCCTGCCTTTCCATCAGCCCACCCTCGCTCACGTGAAGATGAAGGGAAGCACAGGGGAGAGGAAGAGCAGAACACGGTTGCCTACAGAACTACTGTACAAGCCACAGAAATCATGGTCTACCGGGACGCCTTGCGCAAGCCACTTTTATCTAGAAGCTGAACTAACATTCCAGCTCAACAATAGCAAAAAAACATTTGTTACCACACGGCATTTTGTACATATTAACCAGCAAGTTGCTACGCAAGCATAATGGAGTGCTGCAATTCTGAGATACATGTTGTTAAAAAAAAAAAAAAAAAAAAATTGACTTATGGGAAATCAGCCTGAGGTGAGTGCTCGTGGGCTTGCCATGCCACTGGACACAGTACATGCTTGGAAGTTATGCGAAGCGGGCCCTGCATTGGGAACAATGCAGTCGTTTTCCTTGCTAAGCTAATTTTGCATAAAGGCAATGAGAGTCTTCATCTATACAGCCCCGTAAAACATTTAATCAGATTTATTTACTAGGAAGAAATACCAGAGCAGAGCTTTCTATACTACTCAACAGTTTTCAAAGTTGAGATCTGCTAAAAAAAAGAAACCAACAACCAGGTCGCTAGATGGTGTGGAAAAAAGCCTGTTGGGTTTTTATGACATGCAGCTTTCTCAGTCCCACGAAGAATACTTTAACAGGCTCCCCCAGACTGAGAGCCAGGCTGGAGCCAAATGCTTTCACATTTGCAACAGTACCCACCAAAGGCTGGTGGCATCTACTCTTGCTTTAATGGGCACCACCATAGGTTGTGGAGAAGGCCTGAAATACCTACAGGCTATTTGAGGCCAGGTACACACACAGACACTCTCTCTTACCCATACACACACATGCACACACCTGCACACAACAAACTATGGGCAGAACTTGGATTCTGTAGGATCCAAGGCACAAAAGCTGACTTTGTCACAGCGTTTGGGGAGCAAGGACTCTGGGGTGCTAAATCAAGCTCTCACTTATGTGTCTCTTCTGCTTTGGGCAAACCATTTTAACATTATCCCTCCAGGATTTACACACCGACTTTATGGGCATGCTGCTTAAATGTCTGCAAAGTGCTTTGCAATGTTTTCTAAATTCTGTGGTGATACACACAGAAGAACTGCACAGACAAATTTAAGATATCAGTTGCTGAGCATTACTGCTGTATAACTACAGCCTATTTTTACATGCTCTATACTTGGTTTCTACAAACAGATGGTAAGTGTTCAGTATTTGAATGTTATAATGAGTTTTTTAAGCCTTTTTGCAATTTCATAAACAAGCATAAATAACACTTACATGAAGAAGAATCTCTGCTGAACGTATTTTCTTTTCCTGTTTGGAAAAAAAAAAAAAAAGAAAAAGAAAAGGGAAAAAATATTTTAAAGGGAAAAAATGGGTCTAGCAAGATAAGTCAGACATGTTTCAATGCTATAATGCACTGCGTTTTCTGAATTTCATCAGTAAAAAGTTCTGTCTGAAGAACACCAAGACACTGGATGCAGCACCAATGTCAAAAGAGGAGATAATTTCTTGTGTGTTTCATCCTAAATAGAACATCACAGGAGATATGACTATATCCCCTCTAAACGGCAGGAGAATTACACTGCAGCAGTGAAATAAAATACAAATGCCATGTGATCTGGATAAAAAATGAAAAAATAAAAGAACCTTTAACTACATTCCAGCTCAGCGATAACCCCATGGCGCAGTGTTTGGGTTGCTCTTCTACCCATGGACATGGGACTGACACCAACACCATGAAGCAGGGCCCTCCTACTGCATTTTGGCACAGCAGGGTTGTTTTTCCATGCCAGGGCTCAAGCACTGACTGCATTCAAGCCCAGGTTGGGCAGCCACGGCAGCGAGGCATCCTTCGAGGCTGTGACAATTCTGAGTGACAGAGAACCACAACAGGAAACCCAGTAACTGCTGAAATGGGGAACCTTCCCAGCAGGCCCCAACAGCCACCTCCTGCAGCCATGGGACTGCCACCCTGCTGCCACCACCCAAAGCTTGCTGGCATTTGATTCACACTCCCCTTCCACCAGCTGAGCTGGTGGGTTTGGTGGATGCTCTTGGAACAGGGTTTAGGGCTGGCACTAAATGGCTTTTTGCTGGTGTAAATCTGGACACACTGAAAAAAAGAGAGGATGCTGTAGGACACCAGCCATGGTTTCAGTCACTGACTGGCAGCACAGCAGCCCTTCCAACAGCAGGTTTTTAGGGAAAAATGAACAGTGCAGAGTGGAATGTTCAATTAATTTCTACTGTATTACTTTGTATCAATATTAGCTACTATGTAAGCAATTTAAAGTTTACATGCCTTGGGATGTAAACAAAGCTCACACAAATCAATTGAATCCATGGAGCTACAACAGCTGAAGGTTCAATTAAATAGGCACACATGGAAGAAATTCAACAACTATTAAATCACTGCATTTTCATCCTCATGCTTTTCTTCCAAGAGCCAAGGACCCAATCCTGCAAGCAGCCCCCCTAGAGTGCCATTAGAATAAATTTTAGTTCCGTGTACAGAGCTCTTACTGGAGCAGACACAGGATTACTTTTTAGAAAAATAATCCTGATCCATTCTGGTCATTAAGTTAGTGATAAAAAGAAGTCAAAGGCACTAATCCGACTGGGTAATCTATTCAAAGCTTCACTTCTTAAATGATCTACAATTTATTCATATGACCAATCAAATAAACATTACTTACAAAAGGGTGCAACTACCACGGCTTTCCCATCCATTTTTAAGTGTTGTAATATGGTTAAATTTATAAGAAACTAATTAGCATAATCTTTTCAGAGCTGTTTGCCAGCATGATTAAAACCCCAGGTTTTTTTAATAGCACCAGTGGAGAGACTCCCCTTACTGGTGGAACTGGCAGCACTACCATGTTGCCCCACCACCCACTGGGGCAAAAACATGGGGCATTGGAAAATATAGAAGGGGCAAAATTAAAATAATAGGGGGTTGCTGCTAAGCCTTGATGTGCATTGATGAAAATCCTAGGAATATCATCATCTGGAAAGTGCCCAAGAGTCTCTTTGGAAACATCCAGCCCATAGGACCTGGCTGGAAGCCACTAGGATACACTACGAGTATTGATTTTAAAAAAAACCTCACTGAAATATTAGCAATGTTTAGCTGTACGACAAGATCCACACCAAGGCTTTACAAACAGAACTCCACTCAGGCAAGGGAGGTTTCCCAAGCACTCTGCAACAAGGGCAAACCAACCTAAAGTGTCTTCCTAGTTTTCCAGGACAATGTGGCACCTCTTTTCTGCCAGCATTTCACACCAGCTCAAGTCTCCTGCCATCGCCCCAACATTTCACCTCTGACATGAAAGCTCCAGGCAACCCACGCAAAAGCTCCACATTTGAAACTACCAATGAAGAGCTGTATGCCAAATTTTGTTTCTGGTTACAGAAAAATAAAATAAACCAGAAGTCGGTAGCATTTGAAAGATTCCAAATTTCTACCAGATTCCAGACCAAGATTTCTCAAGCAAACAAACCAAATGCCCCAGGATTTCGATGCAGCACCCCCGAGCACGCATCCACACTCTCGGGGCCTACAGGTACCACGGTGCCACCTGCGACCTCCTGCTTTTTGCCAAGCACGACAGAAATGAACCATCACAGCGCAGGTGAGAGCAGCAGGTTAATAAAGGCCGGCAAGAAGCGGCCTTTGCCGCCCGGCCGCGGGCCGGGGTCCGGGCAGGGGTAAGGGGAAAGGGGAAAGGGGAAAGGGGAAAGGCGTCTGTCGCCCTCCAGCGGGAGCTGCGCTGGGCACCAAGGCAGGAGAGGTGCGAAGGGGAAGGGACAGGGGTGACAGGCAAATAAAGAGAAAAAGGACAAAAAGAGAACATGCAAAGCAGATAAGAGACAGTTGAAGGGGAAACAGGAAGATACTATCTCTGAAAGTACCAAAAATGAAGTTTCCAATGTCAGTTTAACGAGGGCAGCACAGACATCCTCCTTCCACACTCGTGCTTCAGACTTGGTCCGGGTGAGGGACACTGTCACTGTCACGCTGCTGGCTGTCTCAGCTGCTCACACATTTTGCTTAAAAAAACCCCCAATAACCTTCAAGGAAACCTTTCCGTACCACTTGTGGCAAAGGTAGGCAATGCCAGAAAGCAGTCAGCTCGGCTGAACGCAGACCCAGAGGTAAACACCCGGCTGTCAACAACCATCAGAGCTCTCACCAAAGCCTCTCCCATCGAAATTCCACAGCAGCAGGTTTTAACGGGCTGATTTACCCTCAAACCTAAAGCCATAAAACCTAAAGCGGTAGCAACTGTCATCCGAGCCCTGAATTACACAGCCGATGACATGTGTCCCTGTCAGGACTGCCTCACGGTTCTGCTAGTCCAAAACTCAAAACATTTTCACATGCAAGCAATAAAAAAAAATGCAGTTACCAAAATAGCACTATCAACGTAACCAGCTCCTCTCGGCACATTTTCTTAATGCCTTTCCCAATACGGTTAAAAAACATGGGAACTCATCAAAAACCTCCATCTTTACACCTTGGCACAAACTGTGCTGGAATAAGTGTGGGTTTGTATTTCTTCGTGTTTATCTGGATCCTATCCCACTACTTTTTCCTTTTATTTTCACCCTTTAAACATAGCTCTTATTAAACAGCAGAAATCAGCTTCTACAATTTCTAAATACCAAGTTTTGCCACTCTTGGAGCTGCCTAAGGACAACACAGCTTGCCTTCAGTGTCATAAATAACACATACTCTGCACATTTCTTCGCCTGGGTGAAATAAATTCTCCCATGCTCTTATATGGAAACCTTGTGAGTCCTCCCACATACCTCCTGCTATAATACCAGGCAGCAATGGGCATTCATTATCTTAAAGCCAGCGGGTGAATTTTGGATCCAAGTTACCCCCAGACAAACCCAGAATTATCACCCCTTCGCACCACGCTGAGCTTGGTAACCTGCCCTGTGTAGTCCCTGTGTTTTATTTCTAAGCCCCATCACTACTTTGATTTCAGCATGTCAAGAAGCCACAAAATAAAAGGAAAATGAGGGGAGTGAAAAGGAAAACGAGTGAAATCACGAGAAAGCAGCAGCAGCAGCGGTATTACCCACCAGGTAGGCCCATTAGCATCAGATGTAGCATTGCCTGTACCAGTCTCTTCACTCGAGGTTAGCGCACGGCAGACAGAGAAAGCACAGCGGGGAGGGGTGGGAGAAAAAATGGGCAAAAATAGCCGGGGAGAGAAGCGTGCGCCGTCGATGTTGCTGGAGGGCGGCCAACGGGGAATGGCTGAGAATGTTATCGCCAAAAAAAGTTAACGCAAGGTGTGGGGGGGGTGTGGGGTAAATAACCGCTGGGGAGAAAAAACACCGCCGAGGTAATGCGAGCGCTGGGGAGGAGGGGGCTTTAAGGAGAAGGATGAATTAATAAATAAATGGAAGGGGGGAAGGGAAAGCGCGCCCGGGGGCACCCCGAGTCGAGGCGGACAAAGGGAGGACGATGCCGCCGCCACCGGCCCGGCTCGGTTCGGCTCCGCTGGGCGCGGAGCTGCCGCCCCTTTGTTCGGCGCGGCAGCGAGGGGCGATCCGCGCCAGCCCCGCCACCGCCACCGCCAGCGCCAGCACCGCAGCGGCGGCAGCGGCGGCAGCCCCACCGCCCGCCCGCGCTCCCGCCCGGGAGGTGCCGGTACCTGTGTCCGCTGGCCGCGGTGCCTGCGCGCCGCTGCGCCCCTGCGGCGGTGCGGCGCGTCCGGCGGAGCGGTGCGGCGCGACTAGCAGCGCCGAGCAGGAGGAAACGGTAATTTATAAGCGCTTTCTTCCTGACCTCTCGTGTCTGTTGTCTAATGAGGGAGCTTTGAGCATCACCCATCCTGCTGAGTGGAAAAACACCGGCACGGCCTCTTCTTTGCTGGGGAGGGGGGAGCCTAAAGGAAGGGGTGTGGGGGAGATAAGGGCTTTGATCACCAACCAGGGCTCCTGGGCTCTGTTCTTGGCTGTGAACACTGAGCACCTTGTGTTCTCTGTGACCCGGCCCGCGTCCCGCGGCTGCCCCGGCGGGCAGGGAGCGGAGCCCGCTCCCAGCCGCTGATCTCGTCTCGGTATTTTTCGTTTTCGTACATTTTTTTAATCGTTATTTTTTATCTTTACACAAAGAGTGCCCTCCTCACAGAAAAAGCATCCCACGGCGCTGTCACCGCCGCTGCGCCTGGGCCCTGGCTCTGCTCCTCCGCGCCCGCTTTTCCCCCCGGCCCCACGGGGGACTGGAGTCTGGAGCCGGTGCCGCTCTGCCAGGCTTTGGGGACAGGTTTGTTCCCGGAGCCGTCTGCTGCTGGAGGAGGCAACACGGGAGCGTGGTCTGGCAGGTGCCTGGGAGGCTGGGACATCCCTGCTCTGCCCTGCCGCCTCCCAAACGCGCGGTTCCCGGCACCGGAAAGTCCCGGTCGCAGCGGGAGAACAAAGTACGGCCGGGGCGATCGGCGGGGAAAATGAGCGGGGCAGTGTTTTGTTTTGCGTCGGGTTTCACAGAACCGAAAGCAGGTCCTCTTCCCCTGCAGGCGAACGGGCATATGACTCAAACATGTCCTTCCTCTCCTACCTGCATCCCCCCGGATCTTTAAATGAAAGGATGCAGCAGCAGACAGTGTCGCGAGGCATTTTCATATAACCCCTGCTGAAGACTTAGTATGAGCCTCTGTATACTAATATACCATTTACATTGTGGGGGTGCAGTTGTGGTGAAAAGGAGATTTGGGGCCATCTGTGTTTCACAGAAGTCCCACGGTGCTAACCTTGCAGTCGGTACAGCAGTAATGGACCAAAGGAGAGTAGATAGTCCCCACACCTCTGATCTCTAGGTTTTCCCGAATACAAGATGCTACCTTTCTACACCACAAGCTAGGACAGCAGTTACTGGGGGACCACCTCCGGAACCCATAACCTATGCACAGGCTGCTGGGGAGATCAAATTCCATCACAGCAGCCTCCAGGGAGGTCTCAGAAAAGGCTGATTTCCTTAGCTGGTTCTTGCAAAAGCTGCACCATTCTGCACACTTTTTGATGGCAATACAGGATGCCCAAAACCCCTGTGCCACAGTTACACAGCCGATTTTCCCTTGCTCCAGTGCATTCTGTGATTTTCTGTATCCGAACTGATTTGGAACGTGAGTAGGTTTTTAGCAGAAAACCAGATAGAGATAGGATATACACAGCTAATTGATGACATATCTCCACTGAACAGCCTCGTTTAAACTCGTAACGATGTAGTCCGTGCTGCCACCTACGTCTTCTGATTCAAGTTTCTTGTGTACTGCAACTTTGATTCTTAGGCATCCTTTGCAGGAGGCAGCTCACATTTTGTGAGCTCCACGAGGGACCACAAACAGGCGGCTCTGGCTGCAGTAAGGAGTGAAACAAAAGGTTTCTCACCGGCTCAGCCACTTGTTTGGTTGCAGTGAGGATGCCTAGACACAGATTAGGAACCAGCAGTCACATCAGTGAAATGCAAGTAGTGGCTGGAGCCTTGTCTGTGTGAAGGATCCTGCCAGCACAGCTGTACCAGTGACAGCAGTGGAATACTTTGCTCTAGTTCTCTAGAGGAATCAAAGTCTGTATTTTGTCTCTTGCTCTCTCTTCTGTTGCTCCTCACTTCTTAAAAGTCAGCCACACAAAGCACATGGTTGCTCCATGTGTTTAAAAATAAAATGTTTGGGGTAAACGACCAACAGCCAAAGCAGTTTTGAAGTCAGAAGCATATAAACAGTACCTGGAACTACTACTACTACTACTACTACTACTACTACTACTACTACTAATAATAATAATAATAATAATAATAAGAAGAAGAAGAAGAAGAAGAAGAAGAAGTCATTTTGTGCCATAAATGTGCACACTGCTATTGCTATTGCTATTTCATTATGAGACAGCACAATTTCTGAGAATGTGCCTGATGAATATTTGGGGGAACGCTGCCTTCAGCTGCAGTGGCGCACAGCAGCACTAAATGCTTCTGGCTTCTCCACTCTCTTATGTAACCGAAATCACAAGTTAGAGCCCAAATTGCAAAGAATAAGCATGTGTGTAATATTAAGCATACAAATGGTGCCTGAAATTACTATCCTTTTCATGCAGGTCTGTTTTTAATCTGTTAGAATTTTTGCTTCTGCAGCTTTATTGATTTCAGTGTCCGCTGATGCAGTTCATAAGGCAATCAAGTCTAACCCCTTAAAAACCCCAGTGTGAAGACATTAACCCAAATTTAACTAAGGCCAAAATCACTCTGGCTACAGGTAGGTGGAGTTCAAATGACTTACACCTCGAGTGTATCCTGTATCAAGGTGCTGTAGCAAGCAGAACACCATATCCCTGTAGCTGCTTTGGCAAGCAGTCAGAGTGGCAGGTTTCTGCACCCCAGCCCAAGGCATGGGTTTGCCATCACCTTCCTTTGAGTTTTCCCTCTTTCTCAGAGACTATTTTTGCCACTACCATGCTGATCTACTTGCTGGAGTTTTAAGGTGTTGGATGCTGATACAGCGAGTGCCTCTTGTATCTGTTTAATCCGATAACATAACTCTTTTTTAATCTCCACGTCTGGGTCACAGGGTTTAAAAAAGACACTGGGCCAAATCCCCAGCTTGGCTACAACGTGTGGAAATGTACTGAGATGGCACGAAAGTCAAGAGAGATTCACTGTATTTGCACCCGGGTAGAGAGGGGCAGGGATGTGAGTGCCAGATTTCAGATGGATCAATATTAAGCCAAGGGTATGGCAGAGTTAATTCAGGTTTCTGTAAGGTGAGGTGGAGGGAGGGATATTACACCAGGACCTAAAACCTGCTCATCAGCAAATTCTCATTAATTTTTAAATGATAACCAATTTAATATTTCTTCATTTTTCAGGAGAAACCTGGTTTTCATTGTTTGGCTGCTAGAGGGAACATGATGTTTCATGGACTCAGGACCAAGATGGGGCACGGACAAAGAGAAGATTTTGCAGGGATTGGGAAGATTTTACAAGTAAAGATTAAAGTTTAAAAAACTGATGTTCATCCAGGCACGAAGTCCAGCAGAAATGTAGGAGAGAAATGGACAGCACTGTCTGTAAAGGATTGTGTAAGCAAGAATGGCAAAACCATGGTCTGAATAAATCCATTGCACTAACGATTTTCTATACCTGAATTTCCTATATAAAGTTATATGGGGTCAGTCTTTGGGGTTCCCCTGTATAGCAGAGGATCCTGAGCCTGAAAAAGAGAAGCAGATTTTGTAAGGGATTTGAATATCATGGAGTAACTCTGGATTGCAGATTTTAAGCATTACTAAATCAGGGAATAAATTGTTGCTATTGCTGTTACATACCAGGATATCTCACTAATCCACACAATCCACTAAGTTGCTGTAGTTTTAGTCTGTGTTTATTTTAGATGAAATTATGGCCTGGACAGTTAATTTTTCTTAGTTTATCCATATAAATCAAATATAAGTAAGGTATCAAACAGAAACCAAAACATGACCTGTGTTTTTAGTACACTCCCCATCATGTGAACCTGCCAATGATAGAGCTCTGCACCCGGTTTACAAGTCAAACACAAAGGCAAAGAAAAACCACAGGTCTTCTTGAAAAGTAGCCAGTTGGCATTAAATTCCCTTGCTTTAATGCTCTGGCATTATTTTGCTTATATTTGAGACTGCCTAGCCATTATGGGATTGCCTGCACTGGTCCTTTCCTTACATCAAGCTAATTACAAATTAACTTAAGGCACTTAGCAGGGCTGAGAGACTGGAGCTGGTCCTTTCTGAGTTTGGAAATGCCTGTTACTTTACAGTGGCTGATTCCTAAAGTGAGGGGCAAACACACAGGAACCAAACAGCCTGGAACCAAAGTGGTCACACTGGCTTTTGAAAAAAGTGAGCCTCTCAAGTTAACTGACAGTCAGCTACCTGGAAATAAAAGCCTCTCATATATCCAAAGGTCTTCGCTGGGATTTTCAAGATCTCCTGGGCAATTTAAAATCCTTGAAAGGAATGCACTATAGAATGAAAAATATAAGTATTATTAAAGAATGTCTCTGAACTGAAAGCCAGCCAGTTTCATAAAAATGAGCTAAAAAAGTAATAACAGGTAGTCTGTCTCCTGCTGGATGCTATATGAACCGTATGTTTTGTATTTTGGAAGTCACTCTAAAACAATGGTTTTTTCTTCACTATTGCTGTTGGGAAGAGCAGTAGAAGAACTATGTATAAATGAGATTAAAGTAATCTAATTAAAAAAATAAACAATGTGCTTTCATCTTCAATTCATATCCAGTCATTTGGGATCTAACTTAAAAAAGAAGAAGATAAAAATTTAGAAATTCAGAAAGGATTTTGAAAGACAACTGTTTCCCTTTAAGATTAATGATAATCATTCTTGTGTGTTCAAGGGAGAATAGATCCAGGGTTATGTAACAGGATAAAGAAACAAAATCCTTTTTCCTTAAATTAAAATAACCAGTATGTGTGTGAATTTTAGTCAATCACTGAAAATTCAGGAAACCCATTTTCTTTCACAACTGCATTCCACATGCTAAAATTGACGTCTTGTAACTTTTAAACAGAATCACGATAACTGAAGACAAAAAAGATTTGTTTGTTGCATTTGACCACACTTTTCCAATAGAGGAATGTTCCCTAGGGAAAATTCTGTGGCACTTGCCCTGTGCAGCAATCCAAATACGTACTCATCTTTTTATTTTATGTGGCATTAGCAAATCCAGTTATTGCACTTCCCAGTTGTTGTTTGTTTTTTTTCTTTTTAATCTGATTGCCTAGTACTAGATATATGATAACTTATCTATTTTAATCATTTTTTTTTTGCCTGAACTATTACATAACAGTTCTTTTAAAATCTTGCAATGCTTGCCTAAATTTACCAAA